GTCTCTTTTTTTTAGATTAAGAAAGCAACAATAGATCTCCAAAATATCTTGGGTTAGGATGGATTTTTATGTGATGATAAATTCCTAAGGTTATAAAGATATACTCAGATTAACAAAAATTAACTTAGAGCTATATATCTAACTACTTATGTCTTTGCCAACTATGTCCAACGCCAGACTTCTGGAAAATCTAAATAAGGAACGACATGTGTTTGTTTGATAAATAAGGTCTACTCAGGTTCACAGTAGTATTTGTCTAGCCTCTTTGTCTTTGCTAACTTTGTTAAGCTTCAGCTATTTAGATAAACTGAGTCATAGAAGAACCTGTGGTAGTCTGTAATGCTACACCATAAAAGGATGTTACCAGTCTTTCTATGGACTGTATTTATGGTTTGAAGTTTACTGCATTAGAGTTTATCTTCAATTAAATTTTTCTTCTTTTTTTTAACATTTATTTATTTATTATGTATACAGTGTTCTACCTGCATGTGTGCCTGCACCCCAGAAGAGGGCACCAGATCTCACGATAGATGATTGTAAGCTACCATGTGGTTGCTGGGGTGAACTCATGACCTCTGGAAGAGCAGCCAGTGCTCTTAACTGCTGAGCCATCTCTCCAGCCCCTCAATTAAAATTTCAACTCAAAATTTTAAGGCTCAAACTTAATAGGGATAGAGCTGTAAAATTCTAATCTTATGATAGCTACCGCCTGTAAACTGTTCTATAATTCGTTTAGTGACAGGCTTTGTTTAGCCTCCTGTGTATGTTTAAGGCAAGGAACGAAGAACAAAGTTTGTGTGGATCAGGTGTACTTAATGGTCCTCAAACTCTTCAGAGATCTGCTGAATGTGGTATTTAATATGTTTAATAAAAAGGCTTTCCATGATAACCAGAAATGCCAGCTCCTGGTGGGAACCTAAAAGTCCTTAAAGAAGACAGATGGAGCATGACCACTTCACCTGAAGCATGGTGACACTAACCATTGGGCAAAACCGCCACCAGGGCTCTCTACACAAATTGTGGACACTTTCGGGTCGAATGCCCTCCTTTGCCTGGTCAAAGTAAGGTCAGTCCCACATGTTCCGCCTCTACAGGAAAATCAGAGTTTCTGGGCCTGGCAGCCCACTGTACTATATGTGGCAGCTGAAAACCAAATGCTGTCCTGTATGGCAGCCAAAGACCAGCCACTGCCCCCAGGCGTAAGTCCGTCATTTTAAATGATGCATGGGCCGTTCGAATTGTGTCTCCCGCTGTAATCTATCCTTCTCAGATCTCTGATGATATCCACTGTAGGTTTGTTTGTTTGTTTTTCCATTCACGTTTCTCTGTGTAGCTTTGCCTGTCTTTGACTCACTTTGTAGGCCAGGCTAGCCTAGGACCTACAGAGATTTGTCTGCCTCTATGTCAGGATTAAAGGCATATGCCACCGTGCCGAGCAATCCACTGTAGTTTTAACAGCATACCAGCCCCTCCCCACCGTTACAGCTGACTTCTCTTCCTAGGTAAAAATTAGGCGTCAGGCCTCACTTTCCTAGAGTTACTAGGTCTGCAGCTGAGAAAGATAGTTTATCTTGCCCACACTCTGAAATCCTTTTTGCGTCCCCAAAACTTTTGCTATGACTCAAAGGCATGAGTCTCCTGCTCTTTCTACAATGTGGATTTCAATATAAAAATTACAAACAGTGGTAATACTAACATATTTAAAACTGTTATCTCTTTTTGTAAACTTAAAAAGTTATTATTTTTTAAAAATATCTCATTTACTTATTATGTACAGTGTTCTGCCCGCATGTATGGCTGCGTGCCAGAAGAGGGCACCAGATCTCACTATAGATGGTTGTGAGCGACCGTGTGGTTGCTGGGAATTGAACTCAGGACCTCTGGAAGAGCAGACGGTGCTCTTAACCTCTGAGCCATCTCTCCAGCCCCTTAAAAAAATTACTGGGTACAAATGGATTCTAGATAAGCACTGTCAATCAATAGCCTGTTTCCTCACCTGCCTATTCGACCTGTTCTTGAGGGTGGGATCTCTCCCTGGTATTGGGACCCCCCTCTCCCAAAGACCAGGACCCTGGGCCTGGAAGTTTCTAATGCACACCTAAGATAATTCTCCCTTAAACTCTGTAACTTCGCTTTCTGTCTTTCATCTATCTGTCCCAGCAATTTCAAATCACCTGCAGACTGCTTCAGCAACCCGCCAGCCGCAGGAGCTCCCTCAGATTCCGAAGGCCAGATAGCTCCAAAGCAGTGAGCTCCGGCTCGTCCAGCAGCAGAGACTGTCAGTGAGGCCTGGTCTGCCCCAGACGGTGTCACGTAACCCGGACGGCAAGTGAAACACACCGAACTCCTCGCTCTCTCCCAGCGTTGGCCAGCATTTCAGCTTTCTTGGTTCCCAACGACACTTCAAAGTCAGCAGGAAGTAGTCACAGAAGAGATTTTATACCCTTTATCATTTATTATCAACAGACGTGCTGGGATGTTAGGTCTCAAGCCTAAGACAGAAGGCTGAGGTGTGTATTTAACATCTCAAAGCGGACCTGGTGGCCAGGTTCTCCCAGCATCCCCCAGTTCCTGCCAATTACAGGCTGTGGCTGGCATACTCCGCCCCATCCTCTCAATACTCCAGCCCCAGGGCTGGACTGACCTTCTCCCAGCTGCTCTTCCTTACTCTTCGCTCCTTTTCATCTTTTACCCTTTTGGCCTCTTGGTCTCCTGGCTCTTCCCTCCCTCTTCTCACATGGCCCAGCTCAGGGTCATGTTCACTCTGGACTTTCCCAGATGTCAGAATCATCCCCCCCACACACACACTTGTCCACCTTACTCACTGAGTCAGGGTCTTTCAATCAAACCCAGAGCTCACCAGTTAGGCTAGTCTCGTTGGTCAGCCTATTCTGAGAAGGCTGGGGTTACAGGCAGGCTAGCTGGCATTTCTAAAGGCTGTAGAGACTAAACTCTGGCCTTCACACTTGTGCAGTGAGCCCCTTACCCACTAAGCCGTCTCCTCAGATCATGCCTGGCATTTTTACACAAGATCCTGAGGACTGAATTCAGGTCTCCAGGCTTTGAGGCAAGACGTCTGTCCACCTCGAGGAAAGATTTCCTTTATTCTTCCGAACTTCTTTTCTTCCTCTAGTCAATAAGTAGTTTCTAAGCCCTGGCTAAGCCAGAGTGCATCTGTGGACAGCAAAGATCTCTTAGCATGGGCAGCCCAGGGCTGTGGATCCTCTCTCCCTCACAGCACTCCCTCAAGGTTGTGGGTTCAATTCCCAGTGATATTAGAAGAGGAGTGAACTGTCCGCATCCTGACTCAAGATCTAAATAAGGAGATTAACTAACACCAAGTGCAATTTAAAACTGGTGCAAATGCTAGAAAGGAAATAAAACAAGGATGTGAAGTACCTGGGAGTTCTGGGTAGGCCCTTTCTGAGGAAGTAACATTTGAACGGAGGGCTAAATGATGAAAGGAGCCAGCCAAGTGGAAAAGCAGCATGTACAAAGGCCCTGAGAGACAGGCTCAATTCGTGAGGTGGAGGAATGGCTGGGAAATGTGTAATTTTCTCCCAACATGGGCTGGAGTTGGTTTTAGCTGGTTCTTAGAAGGGGGAAACACTGCCGGGCACTGCCCACTATTAAAAGCATCTGCTTCCCAAGTCTCATTCGCCCTCCCTGGCCCCTCAGCTCAATCAAGGGAAGTGAGGGCCCGCCACCTGTGGTGTCCCCTGAGGTTTGCTTGGGGCAAACAGGAAGTCACAGCCCAGTAGAGATAGGCTTGGGACTCAACTGAGAAAGCAAGTCTCTTGGGTCTCTAGTCTTTCCTTTGAGTGCTGTCATCAGCGAAAGGCACTCTCTCTCTCTCTCTCTTTCACACACACACACACCACACTTTTTTTTTTTTTCTTGTGCTGGAACTCCGGGACTTCCAGTAAGTGTTCACCAGTGGGCTATATTACATACCAAGCTCACAATTCTCTTTTTTTTTTTGAGGGGGATTGAGGCAGAGTCTCACTATACAGCCCTGGCTGGCCTGAAACTCACAGACGTTTGCCTGCAGCTGCCTCCCTGTTGCTGGGATCAAAGGTGTGCGCCACTATATCTGTTTTGGCTTTTGTTTTTTTGAGGTAGGGTCTTGCTTTGTAGCCCAGGCTGGAATGAAACCCAGTTTGTGTGTGTGTGTGTGTGTGTGTGTGTGTGTGTGTGTGTGAGAGAGAGAGAGAGAGAGAGAGAGAGACAGAGACAGAGATCTAGGGCCTTGTATATACTTCATCACTGAAATATATCCTTGACTTTTTGTTTGTTTGTTTTTGTTTTTTTGAGACAGCGTTTCCCTGTGTACCCCTGGCTCTCCTGAACTCATTTTGCAGATCAGGCTGGTCTTGAACTCACAGAGATCCACCTGCCTCTGCCTCCCGAGTGCTGGGATTAAAGGCGTGCGCCACAATGCCTGGCTTGTCCTGGACTTTCGTTTTGTTTTGTTTTTAAAGACAGGGTTTCTCTGTGTAGCCTTGACTGTCCTGGACTTAATTTGTAGACCAGGCTGGCCTCAGACACACAGAAATCTGCCTGCCTCTGCCTCCCGAATGCTGGGACTACAGGCTTGTCCTCAGTCTTTTAAAAATTTGTGGGTTTTTTCGTTTTTTGTTTTTTGTTTTTTTTTTTAATTTTCAGAGAGGGACTCCCTAAGAACTTTTGATTTGCTTTGAGCTCACTCTGTAGACCAAGCTGGCCTTGACCTTTGTTATCCTCTCAAGTAGCTGAAATTATAGGCCTGGATCACTAGATCCTATATAAAATCTTAATTCTATCCCTACATGATAGAGAAAAATATGGGAGTCAGGCATATGCCTTTAATCCCACCACTTGGGAAACAGAAGTATGAAGTAGAGTCAGAGCCTGGCTTTCTGAAGAAGGGAAGGGAAAGGAGTCTCTAAATCTGTATCCGCTCATTTGACAAATATTTACCAGGTACCATTATGTGGAAAGCACCGTGTGTCCAGTGGTGAAAATGGTAACCTTGCCGGTGGGACTGCCATGCTGAACCACACATAAGGTCATTTATTTGGGCTAAGTGCACGGTGACAGGGAGGGGACTGTGGTAGATTTGGAAGAGTGCCTGCAAAAGGAAGCCTAAGGTGTGACCACCCCTTTCCTCTATAGGGAGACTGCTACCACCCCAGCAGACACCCATGGTTCATTGACCACCAGGCTCCGGCTTGCCCCAGCATCCTCTGCGCGGCCACACAGCAGCTGGGTGCCCCGGGGAGCCTGGCTACCATGCCATCTCTTCTCTGCTTCTCCTCCCTCCTCTTCCTTACCTTCGTAGGAGGCACACCCCCGGAGGAGCCGATCCAGGTGGAGATAGTAGGTATGTCTGAATGTCTGAGGGGAAGAAGCTAGGCTTGGAAGCCTGGGTTCTGGTTTGAGTAACTGGCCTTATTTTGAGCCTCCATTTTCTTATTTGTAAACCTCTGAGAGGGTTTCGGAAGGGTCAGAAAGGCCCTCAAGGCTTCCCATATGGTGGACTTCTGGGGACCTTTGGTTATGAAGAGGGAATTGGGACTGGGGCTACCGTCTTCCTCTCCCCACAGAGGGAGAGAATGTTAATCTGCCGTGCCTCCCGAACTCCTCGTCTGTCTCTTCCGAGAAGCTGACCTGGTATCGAGGGAACCAGTCAACACCCTTCTTGGAGCTGAGCGTGGGGTCTCCAGGCCTGGGGTTGTATGTGGGGCCCTTGGACATCATGCTAGTGATTACCAATGTCTCAGACCATATGGGGGGCTTCTACCTGTGCCAGAAGAATCCCCCTTTCAAGGGCACCTGGCAGCCTGCCTGGACAGTGAACGTGAAGGACAGTGGTGAGTGCCCGGCAGAGCTGGGTGGTGGGGGTTGGTTGGAAAGAGGGACTCTCCATTGACAGAGGAAGTTCTTTGGTCTGGTGGGGCTACAGCGGCTGAAGAGGATGGAGTTAGCTCTAGATAGCTGGCCCCTATGGCTTGGTAACTGCTCTGAGCTACCCTGTGCGTCTGTCTCACACTTCCGTCGGTCCTAGTTGCTTTCTCCCTGAATTCCTGGCTCTGCTGCTTTTCTAGGTCTCTGTATCTCCGCCTCATGATCTGTGTCTCACGTGGGGTCTCTTCCCAGGGGAGCTGTTCCGGTGGAATGCTTCAGACTTAGAGGACCTGGACTGTAGCTTGGGGAACAAGTCCTCAGGGAGTCATAGACCTGCTTCTGGTTCTCAGCTGTATGTGTGGGCTAAAGACCATCCTGAGGGTAGGGGCAAAGTGCCTGAATGTGCACGGAAGGTCAGTCTGAATCAGAGTCTAATCAACCAAGGTAAGGGACAGTGCTATGGGATGCTGGGAAGGGGGCCCAAAGATAGGGGTGGAGGTGGGAGCTGGAGGGTTGGGGAGACCCCGTGGATTGTATTTTCCTTACCTCTTCTTTCCCTGCTTTAGATCTCAGTACGGCCCCTGGCTCCACACTTTGGCTGTCCTGTGGGATACCGCCCGTCCCAGTGGCTGGAGGCTCTATCTCCTGGAACCATGTGCATCCCAAGAAGTCTAACATTTCATTACCGAGCCTGAGCCTTGGGGGAGAGCACCCAGTCAGGGAGATGTGGGTTTGGGGGCCTCTTCTGTCATTTCCCCAGGCCACAGCTTTAGATGAAGGTACCTATTATTGTCGCCAAAGAGGCCTGACCAAGGAGTGGCATGTGAAGGTCATTGCAAGGTCAGGTAGGGTTTCTCTCAATTCTGGAAATCTGTGTGGTGCTACTGGGAGAACTGGAAGGGTTAGGGGTGTGGTTCTGTGGTAGAGTGTGTGCTAAGGCTAAGCATGTAGAGGCTCTGGTTTCCACCCTTAGCACTGTGTGTGTGTATGTATGTACAGACAGACAGACAAGTAGAAAGACAGACAGAGAGACTAGGCCTGGTGGTGCACAACTGTAACCCTAGAACTTGCAAGGCTAAGGCAATGAGTACAAGTTCCAAGCCAGCCTTCAAACTGCCACCAGGATCAGCTTCATGCCTCATCCAAACTCCAATTTGTAAACCGAATACTAACTCCAACTCCTTGCTCGTTGCTTCTGAAAACTAGTCTTTTTGGGTCTCCTCCCGTGAGCTTTGGTAGCTTTTCCCTCCCCAGTCTCTCACTGTTGGAGCCCAGGGCCTTGTACTCACTCCTATTTATACCCTCTTCTCATTTGCTATCTTTTACTCCCATGGCTCCTAGGTTACCTTTGTACCTACCCTGGGCTCTTTACTCCCCATATCCAGCCATCTCCTAGAATTGGCATTTGATAGCCCATGGATATCTCAGGCTCAGTACAGAAAGTCAAACTCAACATGTTTCTCATATACACTCTTCTGGCTTTGCACAAACGGAGCACCCAGAAGGACATATGTGGATCCACTTGCCCGAGTCAGGAGCCTGACTTTCTTCTTTTTCCTCACTCCATCCATCAAACTGGTCACAGTGTCCTGCTAGGATGTCTCCTTAATACAATCCTACCATGCTATCCTGACCATGACCTTTTAACGCCACCTCAACGTCCACTCCAGACTTGGTCACCCGTGGGATACGCTGGATCCCAGCTCTAACTTGGTAGACTCACCTGTGTCCTGCATTTTAACCACGGGTGTCCTTAACAGCGGCATTAACCTTCCCCCAATCCTCACATTGCTTGGATAAAGCTCATGGTCTGTGTGTGCTTTGTTAGTGCCTTGTACTCTGTGCCAGGCCCGGTGGCACAGTCCTTTGTCCTCCTGGGAACAACAGTTCTTCCTCGGTGGAAGAGACAAGAGCCTTCTGCAGAGATTAAGACCTTAAGTCTGTGTCTTGCTCTGGTCTCTTGGCCATACCTCCCTTGGGTTGGGGAGCGAAAGGTATTGTGGGGTCCTTGCCTCATAATAGCACCTTCCTCATAGCAGTGTGGCTCTGGATGTTGGAGACTGGTGGATGGATGGTCCCAGTTGTGGCTTTAGTATATCTCATCTTCTGTCTGGCTCCTCTGGTGGCTTTTCTCTATATTCAAAGAGGTGAGTCATGTCCCTGAGTTTGCCCAAATTCTACCCCATCTTTCTCAGAATAAGCCTGCCCTGGCCAATCTGACATGTCCCACAGCCCCACCCTTCCTTCTTTAATGCCTCTCAAGCCTGCCAGGACCCCTGGTATTGTAAAGCCATCTCCTCTCTTGACCCACGTGACCTTCCCTGTGTCCCCCAAATTCCCCTCCTGCCAGGCAATCCCTCCCCTGATTGATCCTTTTAAATCTCACCAGCCCTTAACCTGAAGAGGAAAAGAAAGCGCATGACTGATCCTGCCAGGAGGTGAAGTAGCAAGGGCCCTTTGCCACAAGCTTTACTCTCTTCTGTCCCGAGGGCCTCCGTGCCATCTCTGTTGGCTGAAATACTGCCCAAGTTCAGAGGCTACCTTCAAAATGACCTTCCTTGGCAAGGTCCCAAACTCATCGGGAGGGCACCCCTCCACAGTTAACCTCCAGAACAGACTGGAACTGAGAATCCCGACAGGATTTAGCTTCAGGGTGCAACGACCTTCTCTTCCTCCAGATTCTTCAAAGTGACGCCTCCCTCAGGAAATGGGACCCAGAACCAGTATGGGAATGTGCTCTCCCTTCCTACATCCACCTCTGGACAGGGTGAGGAATCATACCCCTCAAGGGGCCTTCAACCCAGACCCTTCCCTCCAGTGCTGGCCAGTTATGCATTGTCCTCATTTCTTCAGTCTCCTGAGAGTGGAGCCCAGTGCTGAGTCCCATCAGATCAGCCAAGTCCAGCCCCCGGTCCTTGATCAGAGCACAACCTTGTCCTAGAACTGGAGGCCAAGGCCCAGATTTGGGCCCCCTCCCCAAGGTTCAAGGCCAGTTACCCAGGCACACAGTGGCTCCCTGCAGAGCCTAAAGCGTTGTCTCCTTCCCGCCCTGTCTCTGATGACCCTCTTAAAACGCTCTTTTCACCAGCTCAGGCTCAGCGTTGGGCTGCTGGCCAGGGGAGCGGCCCTGGGTCCTATGGAAATCCACGCATTGAAGTCCAGGACACTGGAGCCCAGAGTCATGAAACAGGTCGAATTGAAGGGTTGTTCCTCACTTTGAGAGTGTTGGAACAGCTTGTGGTAGGATTAGAGGGCCGGGGGTGAGGAGGAGGAGAGAGGTCACTCAGTTCCCCACCCTGGTCCCATACTCAGGGCTGGAAGAAGAAGGGGAGGCCTATGAAGAGCCGGACAGTGAGGGGGGCTCCGAGCTCTACGAGAATGATTCCAACCTTGAGCAGGACCAGCTTTCCCAGGGTGAGGCCCCACTCCCCCTGGTCCCAGCACTCCCCCAGCTGTGGGCTGTGGACCTGTGTGAGAGATGCCTCTCTTTCTCCACCAGATGGCTACGAGGACCCTGAGGATGAACCCGTAGGTCCAGAGGAAGAAGATTCCTTCTCCAGTGGTAATGTGGGGTCCTCGTGGGGCTGGTGGCCAGGAAAGCCTGCTTGGCGCTGCAGAGCTCCTACCATGAGGGAGCAGCTCCTGAGCTCTCTCTTCCACAGCCCAGTCTTATGAAAATGCAGATGAGGAGCTGGTCCAACCAGCTGGCAGGACAATGGGTGTGTATGCGTGTGTATGGCTGTGGGCGGTCATTCTTGGAAGAGGCTGGGGACCTGGGGAAGAAGTGACATCTCTCTTCTTGTTCCAGACTTCCTGAGCCCCCAGGGGTCTGCGTGGGACCCTAGCCGGGAAGCATCCTCACTTGGTGAGGGGTGCCTAGCATCACTCTTCTTTGGTCAATTTCGGCTGATATAATTCTATCTCTGATCCAAGCTTACCCTTGTTCTTAGATTTGATTCCTAATTCCAACTCTGCCCCCCCCCCCAGTCCTGTTTTCCCAGTGTTTCTACCATCTGTAACCTTGAACACCAATATTGACGCATATGGGCCTGACATAGTTGTTCATGCCTAGAATGCCAGCTTGTGTGAGGCTAAGGGAGGAAGCTAAGGCCATGGGCTTGAGGTTAGCCTGGGGTGCTTAGTGAATTCCAGGCCAGCCTAGGCTGAAGCCTTGTAACAAAAATGAAACAAACGAACAAACAAAAATACTCAACCAACAAACAAAAACATTGAACCCAATGTATTTCCACCTGGAGTTTGACCTCGATCTCACCCCAGTCTAATGCAGACTTAACCTTGTCTCCAGCTGTCTGTATAATACCTTATGACCTTGACTTTGACTCCTCCCAATTCTGTTCTTCACCCTTCCTTTTGCCTTGGCCATCTTACAACTGAGTAGGATCTTGACGCTGAGCAAATCATTCCTAGCTTGACACAGGCAGTGTCTGCTTCTTCTTGCCTCGCTCCCCTCCTGTGGCAGGCAGTGCTTCCCTTCCCCAAGCCCCAGCAGGGTTTCTGGGTCTCTCATTTTGCATCCTCTGCCTAAACAGGGTCCCAGTCCTATGAGGATATGAGAGGGATCCTATATGCAGCTCCTCAGCTCCGATCAATTCGCTCAGGTCCCAGTCACGAGGAAGGTGGGTGCTCTTGCACTGTTCCGAGCTGTCCTCCGGACACCCCCTCCTCCAAAGCTTCCTTCCCATCCTATTTAGACTTTTCCTTTTCTCTTATCCAGATGCAGACTCCTATGAGAACATGGATAAGTCTGATGATCTAGAACCAGCATGGGGAGGAGAGGGCCACATGGAGACTTGGGGTACCAGGTGACTCCCAAGTGACTAGGTGAGCTGGGCGCTGCCCCTGGGAGAGGGGAGGGAGAGGGAGATAAACAAGGATGGTAGGGCAGCGATGGCTCCTGGGAAGACAAAGGGAAAGGGCTTCCAGGGCCTGCTGGATGGGGCTTAGACTCCTTCCCATCCTGGTTTGTGTGTTTTTTTTTTTTTTTCTACATAGCCTGGGCTTCCTCAGGCCCCAAGAACCACATCTGACTCAAATCTGGAGATCCCAGACGGATGGTGTCAGTCACTGAAATGACCCTGTTTAGGATGTGTATATGTGAACACAAACATGTGTTCACATGTGTGTTTGTGGACACACACACATGTGCACAAGTGAAGCTCCCTTCCCACCCTTTTGCTTTTCCCAAATAAACTCAGTGAGCCACTCCATTTCTCTGAAGCATGCCCTTGTGTGGAAGGGGAAGGAGAGATGGGGTTGGATCCAGTCCCGAATCACCCAGAGGAAGGAGAGCCGCAGTCTGATTACAGCCTGGCCCTAGCTTCCCCATGGCCTGGCATTTAGCCAGCTAACATCCAATGATGGGATACGTCCATCCACTATCCTGTGGAGTCCCACGAGGGAGAGACAGTGACAGGGATTTACTGTCTTCTCTAGTCTAAGTGTTAACGTCTATGAGCCATGTCATTTGCACAGTAAGGTCACAGCTTCTTGAGTATGCCAGTACTTATCAAAGTAAATGTATGTGTAGAACTGAAATGTGCGTATATGTGAGTTTTTGAGACGGAGTTTTGATATGTACCTCAGTTAGGGTTCCTACGGCTCTGATAAACCGTCATGACCAAAAGCAACTTGGGAGGAGAGGGTTTCTTTCACCCCACAGCCTGTACGGAGTCCATCGTCAGGGAAGTCAGGGCAGGATCTGGAGGCGGGAACTGATGTACAAGCCGTGGAGGAGTGTTGCTTACGGTCTTCCTCTCCGGGACTCGCTCAGCTTGTTTTCTTTACCGTCAGAATCTCCCGCCCAGGGGTGGCACAGCTGATGGTGGGGCTGGGCCTCTCACAGTCATCAATCAAGAAAACGTTCCACAGACCAACCTGATGGACACGTCTTCTCAACTGAGAATCCCCCTTCCCAAGTGACTCTCCGTGTCAACTTGACAAAAAAAAAACCCATGTGTCCATCTCGGCCTTAAAATGACAGGATCAAGTGATGCCCCCTGACTCACGAATGTTGGAACTACAAATTGAATGCTATGGTGTTTGTCCTTTTTTTTTTTTTTTTTTTTTTTTTTTTTTTAATTGGTACTTGGACCCCACACATGCTACGGAGAACTTCCTGAAATATATGTTTGCTTTTCATTTGTACTTCCTGGCGCTGGGTGTCTGGAACTCGTAGCCTCTCTGCAGTGATGTGTATGTGAGAGCTCACATGTCACGCCAGTAAGTTGCCTGGTGGTTGGCAGCACTGAGGCAGCTCTAGGGATGGGGATGGTCACCAGAGAGGTCGGGTAGGATGAGAGGTTGGGAATTTCAGCCTGTCCAGCCTCCAGAAAGGGGAGGGCAACTGAAAGGTCAACAGGTGGCCACTGAAGTAGTCAATCATGCCTGTATATAAATCTGGAGGGACGAATCGAGAGGAGCATAGATTCCAGGCCAGCTTGGACTTTGGAGACAAAAGCAGGAAAGAGAGGACAGGCTTGCAGAACTCCTGGATGGCTGAGCGTGTGGAAGCTTTCAAAAATGAATTGAGCCTGGGAAGAGGCTTTGCGGAAACCCTGCTTTGTATCAGTTTCTCAAAAGCCTGGGCGTGATGAGCTATGGGGAGATAGTCTTAGGATTTACCAGGTTGAGGCAGGGAGCTGGGGCAGGGGGTTAAGGCCATCTGGTAGAACAGCCTCGGGTCTGCAGCAGGGCCGGCCTTGGGACTGCTGCCCTCATCTAGTGGCTTCTAATTTCTCCGAGCAGACATTGTCGTACTCAGCTAGATCAAAGGTGTACCAGAAAAATTAATCACTTGTTGGTGGGGGCGAATCCCCATACCTTTTTGGGATCATACAGGTCTGTGTTGATTGTAGCTTAGTGAGAGTGTAGGAGGAGAAGGATTTGAATATATTTGCCCCGTTATTTGTCGGATTATGTTTATTGACTCATATTCTCTTCACAACAATCTCTCTAAGCATACTGATACTATGACAGCTTCATGGACGAAGAGACTGAGGCGGGCAGAGAAGATAGAGAACAGGCCAAGACTTGTCTAGTTCTTAGGTGGTGGGGCCATTCATTCTCTGTTCACATTTAACCCTGATGTTCTTCTTTCTGGTTCTTTATCTGTGTTCTGTGTGGTGCTGGAGGTTACGTGTTGGGCTCTGGGTACATTTGGCCTGTGCTCTATCTATAGCTCAGGCTTTTCCCTTCTGACACAATACCATAGAAGGGGAACTAACCACCAGAGAAGCCAATCAGACACACAGGGCTCGCACCAACGCAGCTCAAATCTGAGCGTGTGGTCGTCCCGTCTCTCCACTTGATGTAAATGGAGCCTCGTCTTTACACAAACCACAACCGCAAAGGCTTTCAGAGCAAAGTCTTCAGCCCCGGAAACTGTCATGGGCAAGCTCCATGCCATCTGTGAGATGGCATTGGTCACTGATGTCTTCCTTTGGTCTTGTTCTCCCTGTCACCACTGTTCCCAGCTCCAGTGACCTTCTGGAACTCAAACTGGCATCTGAAACCTAGTCTTTTTTTTTTTTTCTTTAAAAAAGGGTAAAGATTTTTATCATCTTACATGTATGAGTGTTTTGCCTGCATGTAGGTCTGTGCACCACACGCCAGCCTGGTGCCTGAGGAGGCCAGAAGAAGATGTTGGAAACCCCGGGACTGGAGTCTCAGGTGGTTATGAGCTGCCACATGGCTGTTGGGAATTGAACCTGGGCTCTTTAGAAGAGCAGCCAGAGCTCCTAACCACTGTGTCATCTTTCCAGTCTCTGAGACCAGTCTTTCTTACGAAAGAAATTTCAAAGCTCTCTGTGAAGCTGACTACATTAAAAACAAACTCTTTTCAGTGTTCTCTTTTATATGCATTTTTGTGTGTGAGTGTTTGCCTGCATATATGTGCACCGTGTATGTCCCTGAGGCCCACAGAGGTCAGAAGAGGACATCAGATGCCCTGGAACTGGGGTTTCAGATGGTTGTGAGTCTTTTTGTGGGTTCTGGGAACAGAACCCAGGTCCTCGGTAAGAGCTATAAGTATTTTTAACTGCTGAGTGATTTCTCCAGTTTACTAGTAATTTCTCCAAATTACTAGAAATTGTAATTTATCTTTTTTTTTTTTTTTTTTTTTTTTGAAACAGGTTCTCATGTATACTAGTCTGGCTTCCTATAGCCAGACTGTCTCTATAGCCTAGGATGACCTTGAGCCTCTGATCTTCCTGCTGTTACCTCCTGAGTTGTGGGATTAGAGGTGTGTGCGGCACCTGGTTACCTGGTGCTGGGTGCGGGGGGGATCAGGGCCTCCTCTGTGTTAGCAAACACTGTGAGCTGAGCCTCTTCCTGCATGGTGGCTTTTACCCTCATGTCAAATGCCAGGGCTCTGGGAAGAATTTTTCTCCATTGTCTGTGTCCAGGAAAGAGGCAGTTCTTTCTCAGCCTTGACCTCTGTCCCCAGGCAGACATTCAAACTTCAGCCCTAGGGACTTCCGCAGTCCTTGTGAGCTGCTTGACCACACATTCATTCACCAAATAGGTGGCTTTGATTTCCTCTTAAAAACAGATTTTTTTTTATTTTATGTGCATTGGTGTTTTGTCTGCACGTGTGTCTGTGTGAGGGTGTCAGATCTTGGAGGCGCAGACAGTTGTGAGCTGCCATGTGGGTGCTGGGAATTGAACCGGGGTCATCTGGAAGAGAGGTCAGGGCAGAGTCATCTCTTCAGCCCCCAGCAGCTTTGATTTTCTTATTTCTGGCATCATGAAGATTCTGCTTACTTTTGAGATCAGTTATTTGGGGGGAAAAATTGGCTGGGGGTGTGACTTAGTGTTCTAGTACACGTTTAGCATGGGTGAAACTTGGGGTTCCATTCCCAGACTTCAAGATCAGTGAAGAGAATGTTAAATTGGCATAATGTATGCACGTTTAAGGGTACAAGTCTCCAAAATTCCCTTAGGCTTCCATCTTGAATAGAAGTCCCTTGGCCTATGTTGATAGGCGTGAGTGGCCTGTGCAGCCCCCCGGGTCCAGGCTGATGTTCGTGGCCCCTGTTACCACTGAAGGTCATGCAGGTGTAAGCATGTCCCCGTCTGTGCTGCTACCTGAGGCCACGTTGATGTCCCTGGGATGGGCTGTTGCCAGGGACCATATCGGTTTCCTCGACCCATGTTACCCCGGAAGCCATTTTGATGTCCTTGGCCTGTGCTGCCACCAAAGGCTCTACGGGTGCCTGCGGCCTGTGTTGCAGCAGAGGGTCATGCCGACACCAGGGACCATGCTGAGGTCTGTGGCACCTGCCGACACTGGAGACCATGTGGATGTCCGTGGTCCGTGCCGTCACCAGAAACCACGCGTGAGTCCACAATATGTGCTCCTGCTGACTGTAAAGGGCGAGGAGGCTACTTTTGCTGTACCATGGATGACTGCAGCTGAGAAGCAGGGCCACAGACGCCTTTGCTGATAACCCCTACCACAACCCCCCCCCCCCAAAAAAAAAAAAAAAAAGTAACAGCGCAGACAGGAAACCATCGAAGAGAACGCTTAAAATTATGCTAAGGATGCTGAGGTGTAGCTCTCCACCGCTGATGGCTTCTGGTGGGGGTGTGGGGTGGGAAAGACTGCGTTTTCTTTAAGGGGCTGGAAGTTTGACCGTGCTCCAGTGAGGATAGGGGTGGCACAGGGTAGAGTCGTGGTTTTTTTCCTTTTGCTTTCTTTGGAGTGGGGGCAGGTCACAAAGAGTGGGGGGCAGACTCCTGTTTTCTCTGTAGCCCAGGATAATATGTAAACTTTAATCATTAGTCCCTACCACTTTTTTTTTTTTAAGGTTTCTTTTGTTGTTGTTTGAAACCGGCTCCCTCTATGTAGCCTTGACTGTCCTGGAACTCACTATGTAGACCAGGCTGTCCTTGAACTCATAGAGATCTGCTTGCCTCTGTCTCCTGTGTGCAGAATTGAAAAGCATGCTCTACCCAACTTGGGACCCACCACTTTTTTGGTATGACTGTCACGTGCATGCACATAAATAAAACGATTTTTTTCCTTGTGAATTCGTCAGCTTTCTAGAGATCTTATTTATCAAACTCTCAGAATAGAGGAACATTTTTTCCCTTATAAAAAAAGTTTTATTTATTTTTGTTTTAAGTGTATTGGTGTTTTACCTGCATGTTTATCAGTGCCTGTGGAGGCCAGAAGAGAGCTTCAGATCCCCTGGAATTGAAGCTGCAGATGTACAGATGAGCCTCCATATGGCTGCTGGGAACTCAACCCAGGTCCTCTGCAAGAACCCTCTGAATGACTTGTGGTAAGTAGAGGCGAGCCATGTGAGATCCCGAAGGAATGCTTTTGTTTCACATCTCATGTTTACTTTGTTTTCTGTCTTTCCTACCCCATTTCCTTCATTCCCTTCCTCCTCTGCCACCTCCATTTTGACATAGTCTTGCTGTTTAGCCTAGGTTGGTCTTGAACTCATGATCCTTCTGCCTCAGCCTCCCTTGTGCTGGGAGCGTGTGCCACTGATTAGCCTTACGGTTGACAATCCTAATGTGCGTTTCTTTTACAGAGGTAAGTTTCTTCTATGGGGGATGGTTTTTCAGAGCTACATCTGCATTTTTCTAAACTGTCACCGCAAAACATGTCACAGAGGTACACTCAGCTGCCAGGTGGCACGTTTTGGTCTGTACGGGGGCATTTAGTCTAGCTTGGCTGCTGAGTTGAGCTGGAAGACCTTGCCTTTCTTTGTTAGACCCCAGGAAAATAGCCCCTCCTGCTGGTGGCTGTGTGTCTTTGATCCTGGCCAGGGCTGAGTCAATTGGAGCATTGGCTGCTTTTGAGTTGGGGAGGGCTTGTCACTGCCGTGGGGTGGATAGAGCTTCTATCCGTTATCTGGGATATAAGGTAGATTTATAGAAAATTCAACCATAGAAAGTACAAGTCAGGAGATGTCCATTACAAACTCTTGATGGTTTTCTAAATTTTCTAGAAGATATTAACTGGCTACGGCCCACAATTGGATTAATTACTCAAGAGCTAAGTAATTTATTTCAGACTTCCCAAAATGATAAGAACTTAAACAGTCCAAAAACCATTATCAGCTGAGGCTGATTAAAAAAAAAAAAATGCTCTGGGGTTGGAGAGATGGCTCAGAGGTTGAGAGCACTGGCTGTTCTTCCAAAGGTTCTGAGTTCAGTTCCCAGCAACCAGATGGTGGCTCACAACCACCTATAGTGAGATCTGGTGTGCAGCAGAATGCTGTATAAATAATTAATACATCTTTACAAACAAAACAAATCGGCTATGGAGTCAGGCATGGAGGCTCATGCCTTTAATCCCAGCACTCAGGAGGCAGAGACAGGTGGATCTCTGTGAGTTTGGGGCCAACCTGGTCTAAAAAGCGAGTCCAGGACAGCCAGGGATACACAGAAAAAAAAAAATTGGTTGTGATAGAAAAGAAATGACAGAATGCATGTGTGTATCACTTGGCTCCAAAGCTTGGTTACATTTTAGTTATTTTGCCTTCTACTCATTCTCCCACAGAAGTTCTTATACAGAGAAAAGATAGTATCTTAGAATGGATATTTTCAGCACACAAACAGAACAGAAATTTAAAACCTATATAAAAAAGTTTTCTGAACTGATTCTGAAAGGAAAAATGAAACTTCGTCAATTATCAGGAATAGACCCGGCAGAAATTATTGTATCTTTTACAATAACTTACAACAATGCTGAAATTGCCTCATTATGGGCAGGAAATAAACACTGACAAAGAACTTGTAATAATTCTTTGAGAGAAATCAACAACAAATTTCCTCCCCCCACCCCAAAGAGACTTCAGCTTATAAAAAGAATTGGACTCTCTTCATTTAGTAAGAGGGACATCGATTTCTGGAGCTCCTACATTCTATACTGATGCAAATAAGTCAGGAAAGGCATCTTATAAGTCAGGAAAAATAAGTAAAGTGGCTCAGAGCGCTTATGATTCAATTAAAAACTCAGTTGTATGCCATTCTTATGCTATATTAGATTTTCCTGAATCTCTTTAATATAATTGTTGATTCTCAATAGGCAGAAAGGTTTGTTTGACGTATAAAAGTTGTGAAACAGTCTAGATGATTCAAAATTAACTTCATTATTCATTCAACTACAATAAGCAATTAGAAATAGAAATCATCTATTGTGCATAACACATAACAGGTCTTACACGCGGTTCCCAGATGAGCCAGGCATGGTGGCGAATGCCTATAACCCCAGCACTCAGGGAGGCAGAGGCAGGTAGATCTCTGTGACTTCGAGGCCAGCTTGGTCTACGAAGCAAGTCCAGAACAGCCAAGGCTACACATCTCAAAAAAAAAAAAAAAAAAAAAAAGGACAGACTCGGACACTTTCTGATCCTTGCTGCCTTGGAGAGTGCAGAGCAGGTTATGTTAGTAACTGAATAGCTACTTAAAATAGAAAGGATATTTTTATTGTTTGGTGTTACTAAAACATAGGAGTTTTTTTTTGTTTTGTTTTTTTTTTTTTTTTTTTTTTTTAAGGTTGTAAGTAAATTCGGAGTGTCACTACAGTTCAGATTTGTTGCTTTCTAAATTAAAGAGTTACAATGATTTGGAATTGAGGTGAAATATTTGAATAGGGTGGTGATAACAAATGCCTATGATCTCATATAGGCAGAGACAGGTGGATTGGATATCTATGAATTCTAGACCAACCTGGTCTACACAGAGTAGGACCCCTGCTGATGAGGAAAGGTCTTTTGCAAATGACAATCTGAAATTCAGAATGACACATTTTTTTTCCTTAAAGGTATTATATAGGTTTTTGCTTAACAATAAATAGTAATGTCCTTAATGATCTAAAAGATTAAATACATATCAATCCTAAATTTATATAAAGAGAAAGGGAAATATAGGCATATTTATCCACATACTAAGGTTATTTAGTTTCACACTTCAAAAAAATTAATTTCAACTTGAAACACGATGCTTTTTCTGTTGCCAAAAAGCATTTTGCTCTAGGAAATATATATTCTTTCAGTCAATGAAAGGACCTGGAGTTAGGGTTGGGACAGGGTTTTGCTTTTATCTTTCCAGGAGAAGAAAAGCATCCAACTAAGGAATCCAGAGACCACTGGACAAGAGAAACACCTATAGAAAAAAAAAGATGGATTATTAAGAGAAGATATCCCAAGAAAAGGATATAAAGTGGTGATATAAAAAAATAATGCTGTTAAGCTTATTGCATGTCAATTATCAGTTTGGCATTACTGAGTACAAATGCCTATTGTCATAGGAGATACATCAAATAAACACATATGTCGTAGGAACGTGACATTGTTTTGAATTGAAGACAAGTGATTAATGCCAATTGCGTTCTAAATGTGATATACCATCATAATAGCCTTCTGGATACACTGACAGATGGTGGTCTGGTGTAAAATGGCATGGACTGGGGACTTGTAACCCCCTGTAACGATTTGGTCATTCAACTCAAATTAATGCCTCCTAATCTCTTGGGCATGGAGCAGAAAAATCAACTGATGAGGCCTGCTTCTCAGGGCACAAAGGACTCCGCCTGGATTATGGTTATGCTAACCACTGGACAAGACTGCCTTAATGCCTCACCTGCTGCTGGGGCCCAGCTTGAGCTGTGGACCTGGAGAGTTGATTGTCCCACGCTACCTAAGACAAGGTGAGGTCAGTCTCTCCCAAATTCCTCCTTCACAGGAGAGTCTTCCAGATTTGCTGGGCCTGGCAGCTGAAGATTGATGCTGCCCTGGAACCTGTATCTCCAATAGAGCCATCCAAATGACCGGAGCCTTAATGGAAAGGCTGTCTAGATACTGGGTATGCCTTTGTAATTTTAATCACTATAGGGGCCATTAGATGAGACTTTAATTTACCCTCCTCAAGTCTCTGATAGGTTTCAGGATCAGTGTAATAGCAGAAACCAAAGCTTCAACAGCCTTCTCAGAAAATATAAAATTTATATATAAAGTCTAAAGATTTTTTTTAAAGATTTATTATATATACAATGCTCTATCTACATGTACACCTGCACTCCAGATGAGGGCACCAGATCTCATTATAGATAGTCGTGAGCCACCATGTGGGTGCTGGGAATTGAACTCAGGACCTCTGACAGAGCAGCCAGTGGTCGTAACCTCTGAGCCATCTCTCCAGCAAAGATTTTTTTTTAATTTTTTTAAGTCTAAAGATTTAAGAAGATGTTTTATAAAGGTATTTTAAAGTTATGAAGGTTAGAGAAAGACGTTTTGAGATTGATAAGTGCAAGTTCTGAAAATTAAAGGAGTTAAATGTCTGAAGGTCTAAGAAAATGCTTTAAGATTGGTAAATGCAAGTTGTAAAGGAAAGCTTCTAAGAAAAGGTATTTTTAAAGTTGGTAAATGAAAGTTATGAAGGTTAGAGGAAGGTGTTTTAAGGTTGAAAAATAAGATTAAAGGAGTCATGAGGAAAATATTTGGAGGTCTCAATACAAACTATAAAAGTTAAAAAATATAAAAACTTTAATGATGATAAATGATTTAAGGTACTGTTATTTTAAGACTGTTTATAACTTTAACATTGATCAGATTTTAAATTGTTTCCCAAGCCAGTTTGTCTCCGTTTGTAAACCTACAAAGATTCTTGTAAGCTTCAGAATATGTCTTAGATCCACCTGCTACAAGTCAAATGGACTCCAGATAAGTACACCTACCTATTCCTAAAAATGGAAAATTTACCCTGGTCTTGGGGTTCTTCACCTTCCCCAATGACTATATTGTCCCTAGTCTATATTTGTCTCAGCAGATTTTTCACTTGTCTGACAGACTCCATCCAGGGATCACCTGCTGGCTGCAAACTGTAGAGCTCTGGACTTCCTGAATGCGGATAGAAACCAGTCCAGTCAATGTGATTGCTTCCTGTCTTTCAGCTTATCACCTGCTAATCACCTGCTTCTGATAATTGCTCCATTGTCCAGCCTTTGACTAGTATTTCAGCCTTCCCGGGCCCCATAACAACATCCTAACGTCAGCCGGAAACAATTACGGAAGAGACTACATCATTATCCCACCTAACAGGCTGAAATGCTACATCAAAAGGGGTTCTTTGGCATAAGCTAAAAAGGGTTTCTAAGTCGCGCTGTGCTATGCTACATGCTGTGTCGACACTGTGTTTGTAGAGGATGTCCGCGGTGACGTGTATGAAAGTGGTAAATGTTGGATGGAACGCCTGCCGCACAGAGGTTGAGGAGACAAAGCTAAAGTCCTCAGCTTCTAATGTTCCGCCCACCCGGCACTTCCGAGTACGAGGACTACAATTCCCAGGGTGCCTCAGTCTTCCACCAACCAGAAAGACGGATTTTTCCAATGGGCGGGTCCCGGGTAAGGCTGGCTTAGGGGGAGGTTTAGCCAATGGGTGAACTGAACAGAATCGAAACCTTCTTTGATTGCACCAAAGGGATTGGAATCTTTGGCGCCATTGTTTTAGTGGACGGTGGGTGATAAACGGGTGAATCGACCAATGAAAAGGTGGACAGGCGGATCCAGAGCATGTGGGCGGAAAGAGGTGCTGACTGACAGGCTGTTCGTCCAATGAAAGGTAGAGTCTCTGGTGTGGGGGCTTGGCGACGCTGTAGAGGCCGGTGTGTGGTTAGCTGTGTGAGAGATGGCGGAACCGGGGAGAAGGCGGGGGGCGAGGTCCCGCGGTCGTGGCGCCGGCCGAGGCTCTCGGAGAGCCCGGGTCGCCCGTGGCCGGCGTCCTTGCGCTCCGCACTTTCCGTCTCGGCCCATTCCAGACACAGTGCTTGTGGACTTGGTCAGTGACAGCGATGAGGAGGTCCTGGAAGTCGTCGGGGACCCGGTAGAGGTGCCGGCCGCCTGCCCCTCCGTCCCGGCCGCAGCGGGGCGGGACAGCGACAGTGACAGTGAAGGGGCGGACGAGGGGCCTGAGAGAGCCCCGCGCGTGTTGGTCCGACGGCGGCGGCGGCGACGGCTGCTGGATCCCGGCGAGGCGCCGGTGGTTCCTGTGTACTCCGGGAAGGTGCAGCCGGGTCCCCAGCGAGGGGTGTTGAGGGAGTGCTGGAAGTGCGGAGTTCCGGGACTGTAGTCTTCAGGCGGAGGGAGGCTGAGGGACTAGGCACCAGGGACGATCAGGAAGGACCTGCCTGGGACTGGTCTTCGGGGCATGCTGGGTTTTTAGGTTGGAGGAAGCCAGAGAGTTGAATATTTAGAGGGGGTGGGATGGGAGGGTCCGTGGGGATTCAGAAAGGACTCGGGGGTTTCCAGGAACCCAGGGCCCTTAGGTATTCTGGTGAACCAGATGGCTGGGGCTAGCAAAGGGGTTAAGAAGGGCTAACAGCCTGCATCCTCACAGAGCTTTAGGTGAACGGGGTGGGAGGAAGGTACTGCATCATTTTGGATGGTGAGGAAGCCATGATAAATGCCTTTCAGAGGTTGGAGTCCTTAGAAAAGACAATAACTAGAATCGAGAGAAGAACCATTCCCATCTCGAGTGGAGTTGGCAGGATGTGAGACCCACCTTCTCTCCCCCTTTTGTCTTTGTAGGTACAGAGCAGCCTCAACCTCATCCCAGATAATTCATCCCTCTTGAAACTTTGCCCCTCAGAGCCTGAAGATGGTAAGGGAGGGCCTGAAGGGAGTGTCCAGCACTGGCTTCTCTGAGACTTGATAGCGTTTACATCCCAGCGGTCAGGGTCCTCTTCTCTCTCCGTTTCTCAGTGCTTCAGTGGAAGCTAGGGTCTGGAGAATGGTGATCAGGTGCTGTCCTATTGACACACATCCCTGATTCTAACTGGGATTGGAGGAAGGAACTCCGGCATCTGACCTAGGGAAAAGTTCTGTCCAGAAAGGAGCTGGCTCATTTATCAGAAGGCCCAGGAACCCACTTAGCCATGTCCACCGCCTCCCCACTTTAGAGCCTAAGAGGCATAAGAATATGTTCGTGTATGGGCTTTGAGGTTCTTCCCCTAGCCATCCTGATTATGTTATCATAATAGAGGTGAAAGGAATGCTGAGGCCCAGTGTCAGCAATTCGACAGTGTTCCATTCCTTGGGAACACTGGAGCCCGGAGACTGCTCTTTGAATTTTATCTGCCCATTCTCTATTTTTTCCTACTAATAGGCTAATTTGCAAACCCCTTTAAAGGCCAGGGACTAAGAGTCAAAGCCAGTAACAGGAGAGTAACTAGTTTTCAGAGATCTGAAACCAAGACTTCTTCCTATTCAGTGAGGGAGTGTGGTAGGCCAACTAAGAACAGGCTCAGAAGTCACGTGGCTGTGTTTGAATCCTTCGTAACTGTGTGACCTTGGCAAGTTTTCCTCATCAGGAAAATGTGGGTAGTAGTGAACCTATTGAAGGACTTTTGGTGAGAATTAAAGCGACTGTGTTTTATTTGCCATGTACATGGTTTAGGGATAGCACCTGGAATGTAGAAGTGTAACATGAAAGACAGCGGTATCCTTGATGTTCAAACCCAGTATTGCAGATTATCTCTGGAGGGTGTTTTTAAAAGTGTAGAATTGTGGTGTTGGGGAAATGGCTCAGTGGGTAGGAGCACTTGCCCCATAAGCCTGATGGCCAGACACCCACACAGGCAGACTGGGTGGCGCACATCTGCAGCGCCGCCACTCGCATTGGGTACAGGAGGGTGCTGCTGGAAAAAGTTGTCCTCTCACCCTAACACATGTGCTATGGCATGAACATTGCTCTCTTCCAATAAATAAATTTTTGTTGTTGTTGGTTTTTCCATTTTTTAATTAATTAATTTTTGGTTTTCCCAGACATGGTTTCTCTGTGTAGCCTTGGCTGTCCTGGACTGTCAATGTAGACCAGGCTGACTTCGAACTCACAGAGATCTGCTGCCTCTGCTTCCAATTACAGGCATGCGCCACCGTGCCTGCCTTCCAATAAATAAGTCTTTTTTTTTTTTTTTTTTCTGAGGCAGAATTTCTCCGTGTAGCCTTGGCTGTCTTGGACTCTCTTTGTAGATTAGGCTGGCCTCAAACTAACAGAGATCTGCCTGCCTCTGCCACCCTGAGGGCTGGGACTGCAGGAGTGAGCCACTGGGTCTGGTCTAAGAGCCAACTCCTAAAAGTTGTTCTCTGACCTCCATGTGCTTCATTCTTCTCACACAGATGCTTGTGTTTTTTTTTTTTTTTTTTTAGCATAGTAAATAAGTAAACAATTTTAAAAAAACACCCCTCAAATTCTTGTCTAATATTGAAGAGTACTACACAGGGGCTTGGGGTGTTGGCTCAGTTAGTGAAGTGCTTACTGTGCAAGCCTAAAGACCTAATTTTGAGCCCCAAAACCCAGGTAGGAAAAAGCTGAGCACTGGGGAGCTGGAAACAGGCAGATTTCTGGGGCCTGCTGGCCAGCTTGGTCTAATCAACTAGCCACAGGCCAGTGAAGGACCATCTCAAAAACAAGATGCATGGCACCTGAGGAATGACACTTGAAGCTGACTTCTGGTCCATGCATATACACATACATACTCAGACATGCACTTATACATGTGTATACATACGTTCAAGCTGCTGTGTGTGCCTCCTAAGGTTTTTTTTGTTTTTTAGCATGCGTCTCCTGCCCCCTTTTGTTGGTGGAGATTGAATTCAGGGCCTCTGGGTGCTAGACATGTGCCCTATCACTGAACTACACCCCACCTCTTGTCTGCCCACTTTTAGAACGAAGCTCAAAAAAATAAAAACCCAGAGTCTCTGTGGTCCATGCTGGCCTCTAACCCCTGACCTCTGCCTCAGCCTCCCCAATACTGAGATTTGCATGTGCCATCACACCTGGCCTCGTCCAGCCCTTCCTAAAGCCTTTGACTCGTTTCTTCTCCAGCCATCTCTTAGCTAACCGTTTCCTTTCTCTCCTCTGCCCGTAGAGGCAGATATGACAGATTCTGACAGTCCTCCCCCTGAGGATGCCCTACCTACAGGTTCTCCCTGGAAGAAGAAGCTGAGGAATAAGCACGAGAAAGAAGAGAAGAAAATGGAAGAGTTTCCGTGAGTGAGGCTGGGGCATTAAGGCCCTGGGAGCAGGAAGGGGTATTGCAAAGATAAGCTGAGAAAGCAGAGCTTTTGGGTGGCTCCCAAAAGGCTAGGGTGAAGGGATGGAAGTGAGGCTCAGATGTAGAGGAGATGGCTCGTCCTAAAGGCTGATACAGGGCCTTCTAGACAGTCCTTCGGAATGGCAGTGGAAATATGGGCTATGGCTCAGACTCCATCAGCTGTCCCTGTCCACTCTGCTTCTCTGTAGAATGGGGCTAGTCCCACTACTTGAGAATCAGTACCTGGTGTAAGTGCCTGGTGTCTGTTGGATAATTGATATTTTCCTAGAAAGTGATTTAATCCGAAGTGAGTTGTTTCCATTGCTCATTTTTGGGTCATGTAAGTATAAAAACAATGTCCCTTACTACGTATGTCTTCGAATAAAGTGATGCTACCGAACGTTTTCCTCTTGATCCTTCACTCTTGGGTTCTGGAGGTCCCCAGCTCAGAAAGGGAAGCATGTACTAGAATCACTCCTTTGCTGCCATCCTGCCCTTCTCTTTTTCTGTAGGGACCAGGACATCTCTCCTTTGCCCCGACCTTCATCGAGGAACAAAAGCAGAAAGCATACCGAGGCACTCCAGAAGTTAAGGTGTTGGGGTTGGGAACCTTGGCTGCGGTGGAGAAGGGCAATTTGAGAGGTTCTTCAGCCCCAGTTGTCCCCATGTTCTTTTTTGTACCCAGGGAAGTGAACAAGCGTCTCCAGGATCTGCGCTCCTGCCTGAGCCCCAAGCAGCACCGGAGTCCAGCCCTTCAGAACGTAGATGACGAGGTGGTCCTGCTGGAGGGGCCTGTCTTGCCACAGAGCTCTCGACTTTTTACGCTCAAGATCCGGTGCCGGGCTGACGTAGTCAGGTTGCCTGTCAGGATGGTGAGTGCTGTGGCCTGCAGGGGCAGGATCGATGTCTTCCCTTGGAGAGACAGGTATTGAAATGGTGGGATGCTAGTGGGAGGGACCCAGCTTCTTTCACGTCCTGCTCTCTGGTTTACCCACCACTCTTTCGTCTCTCCATGCCTCTGCACTTGTTCACGATGTCTCTCGTTTTCCTCATTGTCTCTTTGGCCAGCTTTACCCAAGGTTACTTAGCTTCAGGTCAGATGTGATGGTTGGCACTTACTGTAATCTCAGCACTTGGGAGGGGAGGCATGAAAATCTAGAATTTGAAACCAGCACGGACTTCATAGCTATACCCTGTTTGAAAAAACACACACACAGAAATACGTGGTAGCGTTATGAGGCTTTTTTTTTTTTTAAGATTTATTTTTTAATTATGTCTAGGTGTTGCTTAGTGGTGGTGTGCATGTTTTTAATCCCAGCACAGAGGCAGGTGAATTTCAGGGAGTTTGAGGCCAGCCTGGTTTATAGAACTATTAGTTCCAGGACAGCCAAAGCTACACAAAGAAACCTTGTCTCAAAAAACACCCCTCCCCCCCAAATTATGTCTAGGTGTGTGTCTACATTTAGGCATGTGCACATGAGTGTAAATCCCTGTGAAAACAGGCATTGAATTCCTAGGAGCTAGGGTTACAGCAGTTGTGAGCTGCCTGGCTCACAACTGAGTGCTGGTAACCAAAATCAGGTCCTTTGGAAGAGCAGCGAGTGCTCTCAACCGCTGAGTCATCTCTCCAGCACCTGAAGCTTTTTGTCTTTTTAGGAATCCTTCTCTAGGCTGAGCCTTCTGCCTCTCTCCTTCCAGGGCCCCATGCTTCCGTTTTATGCTCTTACTGCCTTGGACAAACCAGATAGCATACAGTAACCCTGAGTTTCCCCCGCTTCCTGTCAGAGGTTGATATTTGTGCAGGATGATCAGTTGAGGCGGCTATGGGAGTGTGCCTTCATGAGCACAGGCCTTGCAGGGACGGGCAGCCAAGCTCATGCTTGCACGCTGGCAGCTTGTGGTCGCGCCAGTGCTGCTTCTCTGCTCTATAGAGTACTTCTAACATGGAGAGTGTTTGGCCTTGTGCCTCAGTGCCAGAGAACTTGGCATGGCATATGTGAGTCCCATCTCTAGCACTGAAAGAAAAGACTGAGTTTACCAAACTTTGTAATGGGAGATTTCCTCAAAGGCCCAGATTTCTGACTTTAAGGAAAAAAAAAATGGTAGCAGTGTCTGAAGTGAATATGGGGCTCCAACCCTTTTACTGCCCTTTTCACCTCCTAATCTGCAAATCCATGACTGTGTTTGTTTGTTTGTTTGTTTGTTTATAGCTTATTTATTGGCTTGGTCGCGTGTTGTCTTCGCGGATGTGTTCCTGTGGGACACAGCCTGAGTGCACGTGGGTATGTGCAGTGTGCATAGGGTGTGCATGCGTATGCTTGTGGAGGCCAGAGCATCATGTCTGCTGTCTTCCTCAGCTGCTGTCTACCTTCGTTTTTTGAGACGGCCTCTTCTTTGTTTTTTTGGTGGGGGAGGGTTTCGAGATAGGGTTTCTCTGTGTAGCCTTGGCTGTCCTGGACTCATTTTGTAGATCAGGCTGGCCTGGAACTCACAGAGATCCCTTGCCTCTGCCTCCCCAAGTGCTGGGATCACAGGTGTGTGCCACCATGCCCAGCTGAGATGGCCTCTTCTTAAACCTGGAGCTCACTGATGCGGCTCTTACTCCACCTCCTCAGCAGGAGGATGGCAGGTGCTACCTGTCACTCCTAGCTTTTCATGGGCTGCTGGAGAGCCAAAGTCAGGTCCTCTTGCTTGCATGCCAAGCTCTTTACTGACTGAACCATCTCTTCAGCCTCAGCTGTTTAATTTCTCTGTGCTACTTGCCAGGACTACTGCTTGCCAGGTAAATATGGTGAATTTCACAACTGAAGAGTTCAGCAAGTAGCCCAGGCCAGAAACTTGTGTGTGAGGTGGCGGCTCAGGGTAGGGTGTGGAATTTCAAGGCTGGGAGATTCCTTTGTTTGTCTTCTAGTCGGAGCCCCTTCAGAATGTTGTGGATCATATGGCCAATCATCTTGGGGTGTCCCCAACCAGGATTCTTTTGCTCTTTGGTGAGACAGAACTGTCCCCTACTGCCACCCCTAGGACCTTAAAGCTTGGAGTGGCTGACATCATTGGTGAGTGAAAGGCAAGGAAGAGGGGCCTCGAGGAAGCTTTGCCATGGGTGGTGGTAGCAGGGATAAAGGGCAAGTTTCAGAGGCAGGTTCTGCGCCCAGCACTCCAGCCGCCGAGTATCTCAATCCTGCTTTTCGCAGATTGTGTGGTGCTAGCAAATTCTTCAGAGGCTACAGAGGCATCCCAGCAGCTCCAGCTCCGGGTACAGGGGAAAGAGAAACACCAGATGCTGGAGATCTCACTGTCTCCTGTAAGTAAAGTGCTGTCTGTGCCCCTCCCCCTTCCTTTGCCAGTCTTCCGGCAGTTGGTCAGTTGTCAGGGCATGGACTCCTCCTAGCTCTGACCCTGCAAATGCGCCTCTGTTTCTGGGTGCCTACCCAGCCTAGTCATGGAGAGAAAGAATATTGTTCGGGTTCTATTTTAGTTACTCTTTTGTTGCTATGATACAACACCAGAAGGATGCAGATTTTTGGGGCTATGGTTCCAGAGGTCAGAGTCCATGATGGCTGAGTGGAGGCAGCCTGCAGTGCTGCTAGAACAGCCACTGAGAGCTCCCCTTGCTAACCACAAGCAGGAAACACCTAAAGGACAGGATTTTTTTTTTTTTTTTTAACTCCAAAAGCCTCTTCCAATGACTTGCTTTCCCCCAACAAGACCATACTTCCTAACCTTCCCCCAAAAATGCTAACACCTGGGGATCAAGTATTCAAATACCAGAACCTATGGGGCCATTCTCATTCAATGCATATTGCTATAGCTTCCGTCCCATTTCTGCTAGCGACCCTGTGCGTCTATGTTAGTTAGTATTCTATTGCTGTGAAGAGACACCATGACCACATTAACTCTTATGAAGCAAAACATTTAATTGGGGCTGGCTTACAGTTCAGACGTTTTTTACTCTGTTATCATCATGGCCACATGTGGGGCCTACAAGGTGCTAGAGAGGTAGGTGAGAGGTCTATGTCCAGATCGTGAAGCAGTAGGAAGAGAGACTGATACTGAGCCTGGCTTGGGCCACCCCAGTGATTCCCTTCCAACAAGGTCACACTTATTCTAACAAAGCCACATGTCCTAATCCTTTCAAATAGTGCCACTGTTATGAAATAGCATGTGGCATGGGGGAAGTTCCTTTGGTTGGCTGACCCAAGGAGTGGCCCTGAAAAATTAGGCCATGCAACAGATCTGGTGTAAAAGAGGTTTGTTGGGGGAGGGAAGAGGAGTGAGGACCTGGAGAAGGGGAACAGAGCCATGAGGGCAGAGGGGGAGAGGGGCGGGGCACGGAAACAGAGCTGGGGTATTGGGTGGGTTCTTTTGAACCAGCACACACCTGGCACACCTGGTGATGGCAGCTGCAGCAGCTGGGGTGGGTGGTGGGGTCATGCCATAAGCAGCTGCTAAGTCCCCGAGAGCAGGCTGGTGATAGAGCCTGTATGCTAACAGCAGCTCCCTGTGAGCCTGTGGGGGCCATTTTCACGCAGGCCACGCCAGCTCCGTTTCCCGTATCCTGCCCTCTTCCCATTAACTGGGAAGAGCCCTTGATTGGTAATAATGACAGTTATCACGCGTGTCTTTGTGCACACATGCCATAGAGTATGTATGCTGGTCAGAGGGCAACTGGAGGGGATCTGTTCTCTGCTTCCGCCAAGCGAGCTCTAAGGACTGCAGTCGGGGCCTCATGCTCCAGCAGGCGCCTTTACCTTCGGAGTTAGCTCACTGCCCCATTGTACTGCCCAACTTAAACCATCGGAGGCGTGCACTGTGCATAGTGCACACCTTGACTTGACTTGAGGCAGCAGCTGAATGTCCTGAATATATCTTCTCTGAAGAGCAAGGAAGGATTCTACTACAACTGAGAGGCTTAGAAGAACAGAAATCGAGTCTTCTCTCCTTGTAGCTTTGGTGGCAGTGAGAGTTCCTTGGTACTCCTGGTGTCTCTGTCTTCCCTTGTGAAGACAGCCATCTGAATGTGGTGTGAGCACATCTTACCATGATCATATGCCCTAAATCCAGAAAGACCACATTTACACGTACACAACAAAGTGTCTTTGGGGCACACAGTTCAACCCAGAGCACCTTTCTAAGTCATAACAACTTACTTCAGCGTCTGTGTTCACGAGCTGGGCGTGGTGGCGCACGCCTGTAACCCCAGCGCTCAGGAAGGCAGAAGCAAGTGGATCTCTGAGAGTGAGTCCAACGGAGTCTTCAAAGTGAGTCCAGGGCAGCCAAGGCTACACAGAGAAACCCTGTCTCGAAAAAAAAGAACAAGAATCTCTGTTCACTTTATCCATGCATCTGTTCCTGAGGCTTAGAGAGCCTGTTTATCTTGTAGCCTGCCCCCTGGGCTCCCATCCTCCGTGGCCCCCATGCTACAATTTCCAGGGAACCAGCGACTAGTTCCCAGAGAGGAGCCTGCCTTCCCCTCCAGGATTTTCAATCTCCTGATGTGCCCTTGTCTTGTTTCATGTCCTTTTGTTTTGTTTATTTTGCTTAATTTTTAGAAAGGGTCTCCTTACGTAGCTTAGAGTGGCCCGGGAATCAGTCACTTTATGGCCCAGTCTGGCCTGAAGCTCACTGTGTAGCCAGGTTGGCTTGAGTCTCACTATATAGCCCAAACTGGTCTGAAACTTGTAATCTTTCTGCCTCCACCCCACAAGTACTGTCATTTCAGGCATGTGCAGCATGTTTGGTTGAAAGTTAACCTTTTTGTTTTGGTACTGGGGAACGAACTTAGCACATTAGACTTGAAAGTGTGTGATCACGGCACTGCACCCTTGGCCACTGTCCCACATTCTCTGTTCCTGTAGGTTCTCCCAGCCTGCCTTGCACATTTTACACCTGTTGTTGTATCTATGCAGGACTCTCCTCTTAAGGTCCTTATGTCACACTATGAGGAAGCCATGGGACTCTCTGGACACAAGCTCTCCTTCTTCTTTGATGGGACAAAGCTTTCCGGCAAGGAGCTGCCAGCTGATCTGGGCATGGAATCCGGAGATCTCATCGAAGTGTGGGGCTGAAGCTTCCTCCCTCTGTTTGGATGCAGAGCCAAGACTTGGGGATAATAGCTCCCGCTTTTACTATTATTATTTTTGCCCCATAAGGGCTAACAGAAATGAAACTAGAACTTGTTTATTTATTTATTTCTGGTGCTGGGGATTGAACCCTGGACTGTGCACATGCTAAGGATGTATGAAGTTGAGGCAAAACCAAGACATGACCTTTGGCCTGTTTTGTTAACCATAGTCTCAAGCAATTGGCTGGTAGTTGTGTGGCCGTGGCTGTATGTTTGTGCTGTACTTGGCAGCCCATGGGACACAGAGAAGGGATACTGGCTTCCCTAGCATTTCACGTTCACTAGCCCTTCACTTCATCAAATATCTGTTCTGTGAAACTGCATATATTGAGTGTTTTGAACTAAATGACCATTGCATTTAGGTGCCCAGGCCTCAGATTTATGCCACAGTTGGAGACCAACAATGACATTAATTCTCATCTGGGGCCTGAGAATGCAACTTGAGGAACATTCCCTGATTGCAGGAAAATATAAAATATAAAAGTGATGACATATATACTGACGCTGAGGAGTAGGTGGAAAAGTGGGTGATCTTTACAGGCTGACGACAGTTGTGTCTTCAGCCTTGGCATCCCCTCTTCCAGGGCTCTAGCCAGTGTCTGCTACACACTTCCTGGAGTGTACATGTAGCACGTTAGAGCACATGCAGCTGTTGAGTTTGGAATCTACTCTAGTGTTGGGTCCTCCCTCCCTCATGCGCTCTCTCTCCCGTTAGCACCCTCTTGGGATATTTGTCCTTTGAATATGACTGTCCTTATAACTATCTGAATGCGTGTGATTGTACTGTATAGACACGGTATTGTGCAATACACATTCTGTCTTCGCTCAGTGTGAGTGATGATCTAGCCAGGTTAGCAGCTTCTGGATCCGTTGCTGCTCTGATCCGCTGTGGGTGCCACACTGTGGCATTAGATGGGTTTTCTCACACATTACCTTAAGTGGGAGATGCCTGAGTCTCCAGCTCCTTGGAACCATATTCGAGGCCATGGCAAACATCTTTTTATGTGTCTCTCTGGGCCAGGAGACGTACTTCTCTGGCCTACTTGTTCAGGGTGACACTGTTGATTATACAGGTTCATCTTTCTGCTTTTTCCAGGGTTTTCTTCAGAATGTGGACTGGCCTTTCTTGGGGCTTCTCTTTTTTGCTTCTCTTTACCAGCATTTGATGCTGTTGGATTTTCTGATTTTAGCGGTCCACATGTAAAAGCACCACACATCTTAATATCCTATCTCCATTTCTTATGCATATCCACCCTCTGGTTTGTCATTGTTAGCTCCTCTTGTCTTGTGGGGCTTCCTTTTGTAGGTGTTTCTTTTCCTTGAGGAGTTGCTTGTGTTCTGGGCAATTGCAAATAACCTACAAAAATAGCACTTTTTGTGTCCAGGGGGATTTTCACCAAACAGACATTCTTAATTTTAATGTAGACAGTTTGCTGTTTTTAGACAGTTTTTTTTTTTTTTTTAAGGGAAAATGAGAAAGAACTTCCAGAATGGGAGGGGCTTCAGTGGGGAATCTCAGGATTGATACCTTTGGATTTCTAAACTAGATTAAGAAAATAATTTTCTTGTTAGCGTGATAGTTTTTTTTGTTTGTTTGTTCTTTTGTTTTTTTGTTTTTTGCTTTTTTCTTTCTCATATTGAGATCACTAAATGAAACTGGAGTTGTAACTGGTCTTCCCTGGTGTGGGTAAACCATTCTGCGCCCTCCACCGTGGTTCTCACTGGTTGCTGCTGGGCTGTGCTGGTTACCGACTATCGTATGTCACTTATAAACCATCTGAAATGCACCTTTGTGTAGGAGAGCAAGTTTTATTTTATTTTTGATTATAACGAGCCAGTTTTCTAAGCATTGTCTACTAAAACCATTAATAATATGTAGTCTGATTTTCATGAAAGTATGTCAAGTTATTTTTTTTTTATGTGTGTGTGTGAGAGAATGTCATTCCTTTGAATTTTGTAATGTTTAAATAACCTATGATGTGGTATAGCTTCCAGGTTTTTCAGCTCTTGTATGGCCATATTGAATCTGAACATACTAATACATATTCAATCTCAACTAAATAAAGGGAGATGCCTTTTCCTTAGGAGCACTTGATGATTTCTGTCTTTGTGGCTCTTATGTGATCCAAGATGAAGTTCTTGTGACAGAGACCATTAGATATTCCCAAACACCCATTCTTTCTTGTCCTTGGCTAGCAAAACCCATGGCTTTTAACAGTACAGAGACACTCTGAATGAAGACACTAGAACCAGCTTTTTTGAGTCTATGAAACGGCCACAGACTCAACTAACCATAGATCAAAATTATTAAGGAAACTTGGGCATGAGATTACCTTGCCTGTAATCCCAACAGTTGGGAGGGAGGAGGTTTGTGAATTTGAGGCTAGCCAGGGCTACCTACCAAGATATCATATATATATATATATTGTTACTCAGTAGGCTGAGGCAGTATTTGAAGGCTCAAGGCCTGCTTGGGCTAGAGTGAGTTCAAGACCAGCCTGGCCGGCATTCTGAAACTCTGTCTCAAAGACAAAACAAAACACTGGGCTGAAGGCAGAGCTCCGCGGTGGTGTGCTTGCCTGGCTTCAGGGTCAATCCCTAGCTTCTTGAGTTCTGTGGGGTTGCTTAGCCATGTGGCTGGACCTCTGACCCCTTAGCAAGTGCTAGAAGGTCCAGTTTTCCTCCAGTTTCTCCTTGTACTTAACAAAGACTTCCTTTGAAACACTTATGAACGTGTCACAGGCCAGTTGTGGCACTTCCCATGATCTCATTTCTCAGGGCAACCCCAGGAAGCAGAACTTTTACAGAAAAACTAAAGCTTAATGAGATTAAACCTGCTAATCCCCACAGTTCACCCACTGCAGAGCCAGATTTAGATACAAGTGGACTTGACCTAAGTGAGACTCGGAACTCTTGAGACTGGTACACTTGAGTGTGCACGCAGTGTCCTGGGAGCCAGGTAAAACGCCTCGGAGCTGGCTCAGCAGCGAACGGCACTTGCTGCTCTTGTAAAGGAACAGAGTGCAGCTCTCAGCACACTCATCAGGCAGCTCACAACTGCCTGAAACTCAACCCAGGGGATCCAGTGTCCTCTTCCAGCCCCCCAGGCATTTGTGCACATGTGGGTGCACAGACATACACACGAATAAATCATTTGTTTTTAAATGAAGGGCCAGATACTGTTATAAAAAAGGAAAATCCCAACTGTGTGATTTTACCAATGAAGACTCAGGAGCCAGATGCTGGGGTGAAAACTTGCTAGCTCAGAGAGGCAGAGAAAGCACCCAGCTGACCTTCCTTCTCAGTTCACATCTCAGAAGAAAAAGCCCAAAATTCACTAGCTCAAATGACAGCCCAGGAGGAAAAGGCCAAAAAACCCAAGGCCAAAGGCTTGCTAGGTCAAAGCTCCAAAAGCTCAAAGGCCAGAGAGCTAAAGCCAACGAGCTCAAGAGCAAAAGCCAAAAAGTCCTTTCTTCTTCTCCACGCTGTCTTAAATACCCCTCAACTCAAAGTCTCTCCTACTCTTTAATCCCTGTCAGCTGGCTTCTTGCTCTGATCTCTTGACCTAGGGTTCACTTTATTAACCTGTGTACAGAAAGCTCTAAGATTAAAGATGTGTGTTAGGGTTGGGTGAACCACAGCATTATCACCTGTTTACAATAAACAGAAAGTTCTTGGATTAAAGGTGTGTGATAGGGCTCAACCACACCACACAGGAAGCAGGGTTTTACAGTATACACTTTTGAGGCTCACATTCGATCAGATAGCCTGCAACACGATAGGGTGGCACACACCCTCAATCTTGGCACTCAGGAGGCAGACGCAGGGGGAGTCTCTGTGAGTTCAAGGCCAGCCTGTTAAATATTAAGTTCCAGGCCAGCCAGAGTGACATTGTGAGAGACTGCCCCATCTCAAAAAAAAAAAAAAAAAAAGAGGGGGGGGGGGGGGGGGGGGGGGAGAAGTGGGTAGGAGCACCTGAGTGACTACTCAGTGGTTAAGAACACTCATCACTCTTGCAGAGAGGACCCAGGGTTGGTTCCCAGCACTCACATGGTAGCTTACAACCACCTGCTAATTTCAGTTCCAGCAGATCCCACACACCCTTTCCAGACCTCTGAGGGCACCAAGCGTAGACACACACACACTCATAAAGCAAAATGTGTGTATGCACTGGAGCATGTGATTGCAACAGCGAGACTCTGGACCTCCTGAGGCTCTGAGGAGCCTGGGATGCTTCACTCTGTTGGGTAGTGGTTTTCTATGTAGCTCAAGCTATTTTCTGACTCAAGATCTTTGTGCCTCAGCCTCCCAGGTGCTGGGATTGTAGATGTGTGGCACACACCAGCTATTTTGCCTTCTCTTATGTACCTTTGCAATCTCCAGTCTCCCCAACCTCCTCCTAATTCGGAGGTTAGTTCTCCCTAAAAGCTCTTGCAGAGCTGGTGACATCATTTTCATGTCCCACCTTAGCATTAAACAAGGCTCTACCTTCCTCTACTTCTATTTGATTGTCTGTTTCCTGTTTTCCCATCAGTCTGTAAGTGCTTGGCAAACAAGATCTTGCTGTTTTCAACAATGTCCAGCCCCAATGTTCATGATCTCACCAGTCACTGCCTCCCCAAAGCTTATTAAAGGAATACATTTCATGTCTCAAAGAACCCCACTGCCACCCCTTTCAGTGAATGTGTCACCCCCCCGCCCTGTTTTTGTGCTGAGGATGGAAACCAGGCCCTCATTTAGGCTGGGCAGGTGTTCTACCACTGCGCTATGGTCCAACCGTAAGCACAGGCTGGGCCCCACCCCGTAAACTTCACCTTCCTCGGTCTACTCCACAACTGCTCCCCACACCTCGATGGAGTTTTGATATGTGGCCCAGCTAGCTTCTAACCAGCTTCTGTCTTCCGTTTGTTCTCAGGCCAGCGCCTTCGGTCCCTCTCCATCCCATGTCCTGCCTGCTAACACTGCTTCCCTCTCACCCCCTCTCTGCCACCGATTGTCAGCTCTTCTCGAATTCCAACTCAATTTTAATACTGATTTTTATTTTATTTTATTTTATTTTTTGAGATGAGACTTGTTAGATAGTCCAGACAGCTTCCAACTCCTGGGTTCGAGTGATCCCCTTACCTCAACCTCCTGAGCTCCCGGAACTATAGGTGTGTACCCAGCCACTAGATTTTTTCTACGAATTGAGTCATGCAGTCCAGCTTCCTTCATCTAACGGTGGTTTTAAATTTTAACCCTTTGTTAGGTTTTTAGTTTGCCTGCGTGTCATGGCATATGTGTGATGCAGAGGACAGTTGTGGCAGTCAGTTCCCTTCTATCGTTTGAGTCTTAGGGATGGAACTCAGGTTGTCAGCGTTGGCAGCAAGTATTTTATCCTCCGAGGCCTCTTGCCAGTCCTTACGTATTTTTGAGCTTTTATCTCTCTCATCACCATCTAGTCCAGGCTGGCTTAGGACTCTCAATATAGCTCGGTCTCAAACCCTCAAACTTTTGTCTACCTCTTCCTCCTTGGTGCTCCTCCCTCTGAGAGAGAATCTTTATTTTTAATTATTTGTAATGTTTTTGAGACTGGGTTTTATGTACCCAAAGATCACCTTAAACTTAACTATTGCCATGTATCAAGGACCACTGTGAACTTCCAATCTTCCTCCCTCTACCATCTGCCACTGGCCTGGCAAATGAGGTGCTGGGGGATTGCAGAGTTTCAGGCATGCTAGGCAAATATGGTATCAATTAATTACATCCTCCGTTCTGGAAGTGGGATCACAAAGCAGTATTTTCATAGAATTACAGTAATTTGTGTTCAGAAAAACAAGTGCCAGAGGGGGTGCCACACAACTTTAGTACCAGCACTACAGAGGTGTGAACGGGAGACAGGCAGATCTCGGTGAGTTTGTGGCTACCCTGGTCTAAAAACTGAGTTCGAGGCCAGCCTGGTCTACAGAGTTCCAGGACAGCCAGAGCTCTGCAGAGAAAATCTGTCTTGAAAAACAATAACAACAAAAAGTTAGTTCCAGAACAGTCAGAGCTGTTACACAAAGAATATTTGGAAGAAAATAAAAGGAAGAAAAATAAGTAAAAACAAACAAACCAAAACAAACAAAAAAAGAACTTCTGCCTTGAGTGCTGAGCTAAAAGGCTTACTTTACCACAGCCGTGGAACTGGGTTTTGTTTGTTTTGTATTATTTGTTGTTTTTAGTTTTTCGAGACAGGGTTTCTCTGTGTAGCCATGGCTGTCCTGGATCTCGCTCTGTAGACCAGTTTGGCCTTGAACTCACAGTGATCCTCCTGCCTCTGCTTCCTGAGTGCTGGGGTTACGCCCAGCTTGTTTGTTAGTTTTTGAGACAGGGTTACCTTTTTTGTAGACCTGGTTTGTCAAGGAACTCACTTTACAGACCCAGGCTGGCCTCGAACTCAAAAATCTGCCTGCCCCTGCCTCTCTAATGTTAAGATTAGGGGCACTATGCCATCACCGCCTGGTTTTTGTATAGGGTTCTTATTCTTGGTTCTTCACGTTGCGGTTCATTGGTTCTGAGCCCCTGCCTGTTCTACAGGAGAGACAGCAGAGGGCGCGAGGATTCCAGTCTTGGTTGGCTGGAGGAAAACTCGTTGTGGCCATAGCTAATCCACAGGGATCTTTTTGTTTGAGCCAGGGTCTCACTCTGCGTGTAGCCCGGCTGAGCTGGCACTCGCTATGCAAGCCAGACTGTCCTCGAAGTTGCAAAGATCCGCTTGCCTCCGCCTCCTGAGCCGTGGGCATTCACTGACACCCCCGACTCCGTAGGACTCTCAAGTGTCCACAGTGACAGCTCACGGTTGGGGGGGAAAAAGTTTTTTTTTTTTTTTTTCCCACGGTTATTCATCCAGCAATTACTGAGCAATGAAGCTCTCCGCCAGTCACAGAAAAATAGAGGAACCTGCTCACTAGCATCTGCAGAGATGTGTTAATTCCCAACCTCCGAGATCCACTACCTCGCGTGAGGACGTGACATCGGATAACTGGGCCTTCCACCCCCGGCGCTCGACTTCACCAGTTTGCGAGGCCCCCCCGGAGGCTGCTGGTGGAGGTAGGAACGAGCGTCGGGTTGCCATGGTGCCCAGCTGGGCGCACGAGCCCGAGAAGCCCCGGAGGCTTCCGTAGTCGGCGGCGCGTCACGTGCTCAAAGCCTGCACCGGGTGACTTTGTGCGATAGGGCTCTGGTGTCACATGACCCGCTGTGGGGCAACATGGTGGCGGCCGCGATGCTGCGCCGGGACTGAGCGACGGCGAGTGTGGCGCGCTCCTTCCCGGGGTGAGGAGTGTGTCAGCGTGAGGAAGGGGTCCCCGTCTCCCCGCTCCTGTCCCCGACGTCGCCTGCGCCGCACGCGTCCTCTCCTCCGTCGGAGCCGGAGGGAATGACGAGGTCCGCGGCTTTGACCCTTCGTGCTCTGTGCCTCGGAGCACGCTCCTAGCCGACCGTGGGCAACCCTCCTCGCCGCCTCTCCTCCACCCTCCTCCGGTCGGAGGTGGCACCGGAGCGTGGGCGGGACCATGGCCGGGTCGGACACGGCGCCGTTCCTCAGCCAAGCGGACGACCCAGATGACGGGCCGGCGCCTGGCCATCCGGGGCTGCCGGGGCCCTTGGGGCATCCTAAGTCCGGGGAGCCAGAGGTCCCGGATCCTGAGGGGCTGCAGCGCATCACTGGGCTATCTCAGAGCCGCTCGATCCTCATCGTGGCGGTGCTATGCTACATCAACCTCCTCAACTACATGGACCGCTTCACCGTGGCTGGTAGGCGCTGCCCTCCCGAAGGAGGGACGGGGGCGAGGGAGCAGTTCCCCAGGACGGGGCCGCCTCCCCGCGCTCATCCGGAGGTTGTTTTCCTTTCCAGGCGTTCTTCCCGACATCGAGCAATTCTTCAACATTGGGGACGGTAGTTCTGGCCTCATCCAGACTGGTGAGTGGGGCGGCCCCTGCGCACACATCCACTCGCGCTTTGCGGCCTCCACTGGGCTTACACACATGCAGGTTTAACCGCTGCGGCCTTGTTGGCCAGAGCTCATGGAGGTGATGATCCTGACTGCTCTAGGGCTGTCCAGTTGAGTTGGGACGGAACACTTACAGAGAGGGCCAGCTGCTTACTGTATGACGTTAGGTAACAACCTCTCTGAGCCTCACCTGTCTGGTCTTTGGAAGGAAGCTGGTGATAAAATGGGCGGATTCTAAAATGGACTGGTGTGAATGTCCAGTGTGGCATTAGTAGGCACCTGGAAATAATGGCAGGAGTACTTGGGGCCGCTGTGGGGGAAAGTCTTTATTTCCTTCCTTTTTATTCTGAGAACCTACTATGTGCCAGGCCCTAGCAGTGCACCCTAGGAATGGTAGGAGCCCCAATAGGACCTTGGCGAGGCATTCTTGCCCCCCCCGTATCCTTCCATCAGCTGAAGAAAAGTTGTTTTCTCAGCTGTGGATGGGGAGAGCACAGAACTGCTTGTGTTTTTATAAGTGAACCTCAGACTTTGAGAAGCGTTAAGATTTGCCCAGGGCCACATAAGCAGATGGGTGAACGGCAATACCAGGTCTTGAAGTGTTTGGTTTCCCTACTCCAAGCCAATGAGGAACTGGAGGCATTTTAAGTGTGGAGAAATCCGAAGCAGGTTGTAGTTCAAGCTGGTATTTCATTAGAGAAGCAAATCTTTCCAGACAGTTTCATTTATTCTTTTTTTATTCGGTACATGTGACTTGAGCACTTGTTTTGTGCTAGTTGTGGATTAAACGAGACACTCAGAGACATGGCCCCCAGAGGAGCTGACAAATGAGATAACTTTTAGGTGGAAAAGTGTCATGTAAAAGACAGTGTAGAGCCAGGTGCTGGCACGCTTCTTCAGTCTCGGCACTCGGGAGGCAAAGGCTGGCGGAGCACTGTGAGTTCAGGGCAGTCTGCGTACACATAATGAGGCTTTCTCTCCTTCCTCCTCCCCAGAAAGAAAAGAAAACAAGCATAGGGTGTTTGTTAATCTGGTTAAATGTCTGAGTTGGAGCTTGAAGGGGTTGAGTTCCAGGTAGAGGGGACAGTTGGGTGTTGAACCGTAACGAGGTATTGGCCGTTGCCATGAGGGTGCGTGAAGAATGGAGAGAGGAAAAGAGTAAGGGGCTGGATTTGATAGGACATGGTGGGTGGGTGGGGGGTGATGTAGATTTTGTTTCGGGCTGGGTAGAAGGGAGGGAGCTCAGCTGTATGATCCATTCTATAAAAGACGTTTTGAGAGAAAGTTGTGAACATGACCGTGGTTCATCGCTCTGGCCCTGATAGGCTATAGGTTTGGGATGGGGATGGTATGACATCACTGAAGAGGAGGGTGGGGAATCTCTGTTTAGGAATTTCTCTTCCCTGATCCCTAGCTGGAGGAGGGGTAGGGGGTATGGGGGGGGGGGGATGTGGAGGGACCTGGACTGGGCTGTGACTCTCTGTTTCCCCCCAGTGTTCATTTCCAGTTACATGGTGTTGGCTCCAGTGTTTGGCTACCTGGGTGACAGGTACAATCGAAAGTACCTCATGTGCGGGGGCATTGCCTTCTGGTCCCTGGTGACACTGGGGTCATCTTTCATCCCCAAAGAGGTGAGGCCCTGCCCTTTCTTCCCCACTCCCCATCAATATTTGCCGTTGCTCTGTGAAGTCATTTTGGACTGAGTGTGGAGGGCCCTCCGTAGTTTCCTTGCTCTGTGCCATTTCACTCTCATCGCCTGAGTTAGCCTGCCTACTCCATCCTGGTTGGCTTTCTTCTCCAGCTTCCCTCCACTCGCCATTTCTCTCATCCCCTAACTCCTCTCCCACTGAACACACTGGTCTTTCTTCGCCACCCATCTCTGTGCATATGGCCGCCATCATCTCCCTTCCTGGCGCTGGGCTTCCTCCTAAGCCTGGTGCTAGTGTGGGTGAGAGAGCAGCCGGGGTCAGCTGTCGCTTGGCTGTGCTTCCTCAGCTCACCCTCAAGTGCTGCTCTGCCACCCTGCTGGCTGTGTGGACAGAAGTGTTCTCCTGGTTGCTTCACATGGCTCGTCTTGCGGATCTCCAGGGAGCCTCTGACACAATGACCCACTTCTCCCTTCCGAAAAAAAAAAAAAACACATGATGCCACACACGCTACCGTCCCCCCCCCCCCACTTCCCCGGCTGTTGAGACCTTCCCCTGTGTGTTACCCTCAGCCCCAGACCCTAGTGCCATGTACCCTGGCCTCCGCTCCAGGTGTCTTTGGTAAGCAGATAATCCCCCAGCTAAGGTCATTTTTCACCACTGGAGGTGTCTTAGGTGGGAGGGAAAAGTAGGTTTATTTTACACCTCCTGAGTGCAAAGTCCTCTCAGTGTCATTGTGACCAAGCTGTTGTTGTTCCCCTTTTGCAGATGAGGAAAGTGAGGCTCAGAAAGGTTAAGTTATTTTCTCAAAGTCACAGCTAGTCAGTGGAGCCAGGATTCCAGCCAGGTCTGTGTGATTCTAAACCCAGGCCTCTCTCACCATCCCCGCCGTCTCTCCAGCACTAGCTGGAGAGTCTCCTGGGAGGCTGGCTCCAGGGTGGGGTGCCACCTCCCCCGTGTCTCCTTTCCCAGCGTTTCTGGCTGCTCCTCCTGACCCGGGGCCTGGTGGGGGTCGGGGAGGCCAGTTACTCCACCATTGCGCCCACTCTGATCGCCGACCTCTTCGTGGCAGACCGGCGGAGTCGGATGCTCAGCGTCTTCTACTTCGCCATTCCCGTGGGCAGGTGAGTAGGCTGTGGGCCTGCTGTGGGGCGAGGGCTTGGTAAGGCAGATGGCTGACCAACAGGTGCCCTCTTCTCCCCTCGCCTTTCCTTCCCACAGCGGCCTAGGTTACATTGCCGGCTCCAAAGTGAAGGATGTGGCTGGAGACTGGCACTGGGCTTTGCGGGTGAGTCTGGTCATAGTGTGGGGAGTCAGCCACATCCTTACTGATCTCCCTCTCTGACCTTCAGATACTCTCTTTCTTAAGACTCTTTAAAAAAAAAAAAAAAAGTCCTGAGTTCAATTGCCAGTGACCATAAACATGGCGGCTCACAACCATCTCTAGTGAGATCTGGTGCCCTCTTCTGTCGTGCAGGTGTAGCTGCAGGTAGAACACTATATAAATAATAAATAAGCCTTAAAAAGTGGGGCAGAGTGTACGTACCTACCTACCTGCCTGCCTGAGTCTGGGAGTCAGAGGTCAACTTCTTCACCCGAGGGATCTGGAGATTGGACTCGGGTTGTCAGGCTGGGCAGCGAGACCCTTCACCCACTAGACCAGCTCGCTAGCCCAACATACTCCCTTTTTATGGCAGTGCTCACTCCACTGAGGCTGCAGCGAGCCTGCTCCTCAGTAAGGAGCCAAAGGTTTTGCTTGTAGATGACAGGAACCCACTGTAAAGTCAAGTCCCAGAAAGGGACAGAATTCATTTTCCTAATGGCAGGTGACCCAGGACCCCCATGCCGTCACTGGGTCTGCTCATTTTTGTTGTAGCTCTCCTTTCTCCCATGGTAACTTTATTCTCCTGCTTTTTGGGAGTCCCCAGAGGTCACCTTTCAACCGAGCAACTCGGATCCTTGAACAGTAGTCATGAGATGATACCTGATTGGATGATCCTAGGTCCCATGCCTGTTATGTAATCAGTTACGGAAGGCGGGAGACTCAGCAGTCCTTTTGGTTAGGTCTTAGCTCCAGTTTGCACCACATTGAAGTGAGAGAAATTTACGTTTGGGGTCCCTGAAACAAAATCAAGGTGCTGTTACCAAAAAAAGAAGCAATGACAGGCTTGTTAAAACGGAGTGCCCCCAGTAGCAAGCCTTCCCAGGCGTCAGCCCCAGCGTCTCTGAACCAGCACCTGTGAGGTGCTTAGACCTTGGGAGCTAGCCCTAGCTCACTCCTGCTTGCCCGAGAGGTTCAGTATTCCCTATGCTCCAAGGCTCGCTCTTTCTCCAGGTCACACCAGGTCTCGGGGTGCTAGCTGTCCTGCTGCTGTTCCTGGTGGTCCAAGAGCCCCCAAGAGGAGCTGTGGAGCGCCACTCAGGCTCACCGCCCCTGAGCCCCACCTCATGGTGGGCAGATCTGAAGGCGTTGGCACGAAAGTGAGTTCACCCCTTTCACATCTGAGGCCTCAGCCGGGGCTGGAGTCCTAAACAGGCCATGTTTTCTGTCCTGCCAGGAGGCCATATTTAGGGCCAGAGATACGGGCACAGATCACACCCGAGTCCTGACATCAGAATAAGCCAGGGAGGGGGAAGAGGGCATGTCCGTGGGGTCTGACTTCCTCCCAATGTCTGCAGCCCTAGTTTCGTCCTGTCTTCCCTTGGCTTCACTGCTGTGGCCTTCGTCACGGGCTCCCTGGCTCTCTGGGCACCGGCGTTCCTGCTGCGCTCCCGTGTTGTGCTGGGAGAGACTCTGCCCTGTCTCCCTGGAGACTCCTGCTCTTCTTCTGACAGGTACTTGTGAGGGGCTGGACGGGGTGACTGCATGGTGGGGGTAGGGCCGGGGAGGCCTGAGGGGAATTCAGATTTGGGCCAGGAGAGTTCCAATTCCGACTCTACCAACCACCTCCGCTCTTGGAGTCTTGGTTTCTGGTCTAAGAACCACGTGATGAGCTAACCTATGGGCACTGGGGTTCTGTGCCGGATGGATTTGGGTGTGAGGGCAGTTGGGATGGACTAGCCCCTCTAGGTCGGAGGGCCTCGCAGAAGGAATAGCTCCCATGCTCCTCCCCCACTCCTAGTCTCATCTTTGGACTCATCACCTGCCTGACTGGAGTCCTGGGTGTGGGCCTGGGTGTGGAGATCAGCCGCCGCCTCCGCCGCTTCAACCCTCGCGCCGACCCGTTGGTCTGTGCAGCCGGCCTCCTGGGCTCCGCACCTTTCCTCTTCCTGTCCCTGGCCTGTGCCCGGGGTAGCATCGTGGCCACCTATGTGAGTAGGGTGCCAAGGGTCTGGTGGGTATCTTTGCACGGGGGCAGGAGGGGTGGTACGGCCTTCCTGGGTACCTCCATGTCCATTGAGGATGACTGCCAGCAGCCAGTTCCGTGTGTGGGGTCAGCCAGCAGAGTGGCTCAGTGCAGGCTGAAGGTGGAACGCCTCCTTTCAGACCTCAGCTCTGGGCCTCCCCAGCTGGGTGATGCTGGCAAAGCCACGTGTCCTTGCTGTTCCCTCGGGTGTAAAGCCAGACTGAGGCTAGCCCCTGCCTCATGGGGCATGGTGGGGGCTCAGTTAATGGACGAGCCTAGTCATGTGATTCTCTCCCACTTCTGCCGCCCAGATTTTTATCTTTATCGGGGAGACCCTGTTGTCCATGAACTGGGCCATTGTGGCAGACATCCTGTTGGTGAGTAGCTGGGCAGATACAGGTTAGTCCAGAGGCTGGCGGGAGCAGGGAGTCAGGAGGTGGTATTTGATTTGATCTGAATTCTGGCCTTTCCCTTTCAAACCTTAGCCCCAGGTGAATTCCAGCCCCAGAGGGGCCTCTGGGCCCGGCCTGTCTCATGTCTGCTTGCCCTTAGCCTCAGTGACAAATTTATCTTGGGCCTACAGTGGGCTTTGGCCTTGGTTTCTCTGGGCAGTCCTACTGAGAACCCTTCTAAGTTCCCCTCTCCCCCCAGTACGTGGTGATTCCAACTCGCCGTTCCACTGCTGAGGCCTTCCAGATAGTGCTGTCTCATTTGCTGGGTGACGCAGGGAGCCCTTACCTCATCGGGCTGGTAAGTGCTTTTCCTGGCTGGGATGGGCGGTAGTGGGGAGCTGGTACTCCTGCCCTGGCTGCTGGCTGGTAGCTGGTGGCTTGAGCCTGGGTGGGTGGGATAGTCTGGCCCAGCTGGGCAATAGCCACCCACTTGTGGTGCCTCTCCCCTTGGGTCCTCTGGGGGGGTGGGAAGGAAGTTGGTTGGAGGTTACCCATTAGGCTGCGGGTCTCCCCCTGTAGCACAGACGCTCCCCTTTCTAGACTCCATTGTTCCTTTTCTTGGTGTTCAGGGCTCCCCATCCCTGGGTCTCTTGACTCCTCTCTCTGCAGATCTCCGACCGCCTCCGACGGAGCTGGCCACCTTCCTTCTTGTCTGAGTTCCGGGCCCTGCAGTTCTCACTCATGCTCTGTGCTTTTGTTGGGGCACTGGGTGGTGCGGCCTTCCTGGGCACCGCCATGTTTATTGAGAATGACCGCCGGAGGGCCCAACTCCACGTGCAGGGTCAGTGAGGGCCACTGTGGGACCCCCTTCACAGAACTCCTGTCTGTCCATCTGTTGGCCCACATCTCTTAGTCCATACTTCTCCCTCACCCAGACCAGCCCACCCGCATGCCACTAGCCACCTGCCACCTGCCAGGGTCAAGCGCACCAGCTTCCCAGGCCCATCCACTGAGCTCCGAGTCTGTCTCAGAGTGGATTGGGCTTTCTGTCTGTACGCAGCCCCGAGGGCTCCTGCTGCTGCTTCGTCTGTGCCCTTCCACCTCTCTGTCCTCTGTTCCCTGCTGGCTCTTCTCTAACTGACCTTGGCTCCTGTCCCTTCCTTGCAGGTCTGTTGCATGAGACAGGGCCCTCAGATGAGCGGATTGTCGTGCCTCAGCGAGGCCGTTCTACCCGGGTCCCTGTGTCCAGCGTGCTCATCTGAAGAGCTGTTGCTCGCCTAGCCACAGATTCGTCATGGCTGGTCCTGGGCCTACCCCAGCCGGTGCCCGGGCAGAAGCCTTCACCAGGCCCAGGTCCAAGGAAGAGGCCCTGGGGTATGTCCCAGTTCCCAGACACTACATGGGCAGCCCAAGGAAGAGATTGGGGTCCAGAAATGGGGGGTGTCCTCTGCACTAGGGCAGCCCGAGGGGTTTGGTGCTATTTGTAATGGAATAAAATTTGTAAGCAGACTCCAACTGACTGCTTGTCTCTCTATGGGTGCTGCTGGCTTCAGGGAATGTGTGTGGCCTCAGGATAACCAGGGGCTCTCGGGTCACCCTGTGGGCACGTTCCTGACTTCTGGGCAGGGCGATCGGGAAGGAGGGCTGCTCTTGAGTGAGCTGGCTTGGTATGACCGTGACTCACTGTGGGTCCCTGGAAGTCACTCTCCAACAAGCCTGGGGAGCTGGGGCAGCGCTGCCCTGCTCTGCAAGGGCCCTGGCGTTCACCCAGCCAGGGATGGGGAGGCCACAGCTGGCCTGGTCCCAGTGGAGGGGTTACCTCATCCCGCCGCCTCAGAGCCTTCCTTCGCACAGTCCCTCTGCCTCCTCCCCCTTCCCTCCACTGGGTGGGGGTGAGTGGGCAGGGGGCAGGCGCAGCCCGCTGAGGAGCCTGATGATTTCCTGCCCTCACCACAGCTTCCTGTCGCACGAGGGTGGTGAGAAGGAGAGGCAGGCGGGGAGCGAGAGAGGGGCAGGTACAGCTGGGCACAAGGGATCACCGCGCAGCTGGTAGCTGGGACGCAGGCCCCAACTCAGGCTCGGGGACCAGCGTCTTCCCCAGCCGACACAGATCTCAACAGTCCAGCAAGGGAGCGTGGCCATTGAGCCTCAAGAAGAACTCAGCTGCCTGCCTCCTGATCCCAGACTGGGGCCCTCTCGGTCCCACAGCCCTGCTGCCACTCTGCCTAGAGGGGCTGCAGCCAGCGGGGCCCGGGGCAGGTGCTCTGCAGATGGAAGCAGACACTCTGAGCCCCGTGGGGCTGGGCCTCCTGCTGCTGCCCTTCTTGGTCACGCTCCTGGCTGCCCTGTGTGTGCGCTGCCGAGAGCTGCCGGGTAAGTGGGGAGCTTTGGGCTGCTGGGTGCTGCACCGGAGCCTCAAGCTGTCCTCGGCTCTTGTATCGGCTCCTGGATCTTCTGTCTGTCTATCCCTGTCTCAGTCCTGCCGGGGGTTGGAGGCCTGGGGAAGCTCTGAGAGTCTTTCCTGCTGGCTCGCCCTGATCCTCACCGGCCCTCTCTCCTCCAGCCTCCTATGACAGCGCTTCCACAGAGAGGTGAGTGTGCAGTCCCAGGTCCCCGTGTGTCTCCCCTTTGTTCGGATGAAGGGCTTGGGGCAGGGGCCCTCTTGGTCCTGAACCCACGGTGTCTCTTTCCTGCCAGTTTGTCCCCGAGGAGCATCCTCATGAAGCCACCTCGTGAGTGCAGTGTCCTCGGCCTTCCTTGAGGGTTCTTGAAAGCATGCCTTTGTCCTGTCCACTCTTAGCTGTCCGCAGGGCTATTACCTGGGCTGGGCTGGAGGGAAGTGGGAGCCCCTGCGGCATGGTTTTTAGGGGTACGTTTGTCCTTAGAGGCCTTGACGAGGGTGGGGGGATGTTGGCGGTCATTCCCTGAAGCTTTGCATTGTGTCCTCAGAATTAACCGTCCTCCGCACACCTGCTGCTTCCTACCCTCCTGTTACTTCCTTCCCACCCCTGAGGCAGCCAGACCTGCTCCCCATTCCGTGAGTATGCCTCAACTTTCTTCCTCCGCTCCACTGTGCCTCCTCGCCTTCTAGGATGAGACACACTCGCACACCATACACACACACACACACACACACACACACACACACACACACACACACGGGAGCACACACACAGGGATTCCTGTTGTAACCCCTCTTGCCCCCAGAGTCCTACCCAGACATAATCCCTGACCTCTGACCTCCAGGAGATCCCCACAGCCCCTTGGGGGCTGCCATCGGATGCCATCTTCCCGGCAGGATTCGGATGACGGTAAGGGTGTGGAGGGCTGGAGGGCCGAGGGGTGGGTGTGCAACCGGAGCTGACTCGGCCTTCCTTTCCCTCTCTCTTTGAAGCCAACAGTGTGGCGAGCTACGAGAACCAGGGTGGGTGTAGGGTCTGGAGGGCTGGGTGGGGTGGGGAGGCTGTGCCCGTCCCAGGTCAGGTTGACGTCCCATCTCTCCCAGGGCCGGCCTGTGAGAATGTGAATGAAGATGAGGAGGAGGAGGACTGTCCCAACGAGGGCTACCTGTGAGTGGGGAGGTGGGAGGTCGGAGGTGGGGATGGAAGGTGGGTACCCTGTCTCAGCTCCTCACCCTTTCCTTCCAGAGAGGTGCTTCCGGACAGCACCCCCGCCACCATTCCCACAGCGCCCTCTGCCCCTGTGCCCAGCAACCCTGGATTCCGAGACAGCGCCTTCTCCAGTGAGTCAGGGTTTCTGTACACCTCCTTCCGCCATGTGCCGGCGGCTACTCCTCTCTTCCCTCTCCTTTCTGTAACGATCGCCAACCTTCCATTTCCTCCTTCAGAAATTGGACTTCCTGCTCCTCACTTCCGATTAGCTTACTTTTCTTTTCACCTTTCCTTCCTGTCCCATTAAGAAATTTCCTGACTCTTCTCTAACCCTTCCATTGAAGTTTCATATCTTGGATGGATGTGAGGGCATATGTCTATAATCCTAGCATCAGGAGGCTGTGACAGGAGGGTTGAGTTTGAGGCTAGCCTGGGCTACATGGTAAGAACCTGTCTCAAAAACCAAAACAGCACTGCCATCAACAAAAAGAAAAGAAAAAAAATATTTTTCTGATCTGAAAGCTTTTTTTTTTTTTTTTTTTTTTTGACTTCTCAGTGTACTTTTTGTATAGTATCCTGTTCTTGTTTCTTGGAAGCAGTATCTGTAAGAACTTTTCCTTTTTTGTTTTGTTTTGTTTCAGACAAGTTTTCTCTCTCTAGCTTTGGCTGTCCTTTGTAGACCAGGCTGGCCATGAACTCACAGCAATCTGCCTGCCTCTGCCTCCCAGAGCACTGGGATCAAAGGCGTGTGCCACCATGTCAGACTTTCTGTATGAACTTTGATTAGAGGTTGTTTTTCTCTGTGTGTCTCTTTATGTCTCTGTCTCTCACACACACTCTCTCACTGAAGATTTCTTTTGCTTACCATGTGGTCTTTGTTTCTCTTGGGCTGCTTTTCTCTGCTTTGATCTCTTTCCTCCCTAGTCTCCTTCCTTGATCTTGCCTCAGAGTCTGGTGATCTTCGGCTTTCTACCTTCTTCTCTCTATATAGCATGAGTATCCCTTACCTGAAACTCCTAAATACAGATTTGGGGATATTTATAAATATATAACGAATTCTCTTGGGGATGAAACTGAAGGTTAAACATGGAATTAATTTATTTATGTTATATATATGTATAGTCTGAAAGTAGGTTTTGGTTTGGTTTGGTTTTTTAGAGACAGGTTTCTCTGTGTATCCTTGACTGTCCTGGACTTGCTTTGTAGACCAGGCTGGGCTCGAACTCACAGAGCTTCACCTGCCTCTCCCTCCCCAAGTGCTGAGATCACAGGCGTAAGCCACTGCTCCCAGCTTATTTTGTTTTCTTGAGACAGGGCCTCATTATATAGGCTGTCCTGAACTTGATATCTAGACCAGGGTAGCCTTGAACTCATCGAGATCTGCCTGTCTCTGCCTCCTGGGTGCTCGGGTTAAAGGTGTGTGTCACCATGCTCAGCCTTGAAGGTAGTTTTATACACATTTTAATTAATCTTTTGCATGAAACCAAAATTCCATTGTGTGGAATTTTCCATTTGTGGCATCACGTCAATACTGAAAAGGTTTGGGATTTTGGAGTATTTTAAAGTTTAATTCAGGAAATTCCAACCTTCTGTATTTACTGTAAACTATTATATACTCTGGAACTGTTTTTGTTGTTGTTTGTTTGTTTTGAGACCGGGTTTCTCTGTGCTGTCTTAGTTGTCCTGGATTCACTTTCTAGACAGTGTGGAACTCACAGAGATCCACCTGCCTCTGCCTCCGTGCTGGGATTACAGGCGTGAGCCCCAGTGCCTGGCTGTTTGGGTTTTGTGGGGTTTTTATTTTGCTTTGTTTGAGACAGAATCTTACTTTGTAGCCATGGCTGCCCTGGAACTTGGTCTTGTAGATTTGTCTGGCCTTTAATTCCTAGAGCTCCAGTTGCCTCTGCCTCTGAGTGTGGGATTACAAATGTCTTCTCTTTTCTTCCATTTGGTTTTTTTTGTTTGTTTGTTTGTTTGTTTAGCTTTTTCTTTTCTAAATTTTTTTTTTCAAGACAGGATCTCTCTTTGTAGCCCTGGCTGTCTTGGAACTCACTCTGTAGACTAGGCTGGCCCTAAACCTAAATTACCTCCTGCCGCAGGCTTCTGGAACCACAACCTGGCTCAGGGTTTATTAACAGATACATAGTGTCTAGAAGGCTCTATTTTATAATTTACTGTTTTAATCCTCACGGTAGTCCTTTGAGGCAGGCCCTGTTATGAACTTCATTCTACAGATGAGGAAACTGAGGCATAGCGTGTGTAGGTAACTTATCTGAGGTTACATAGCTGTTTAGCGCTGGAGCTGGGATTTGAACCAGGATATCTGACTCCAAAGCCCAGCGGGTCTACATAGTCGTACAGAAACCAGAAAGCAAAAGGCCATGTAACACTGTGAATGTTGTCCATGGGCCTGGGCAGGTGTGGTGTAGGTAATGGCTGGTAATATTGAGATGCCAGACAGGTCTGATGAAGAGAGGATGCCATCTGGACCAAGCTCTCTGTACTCTGAGCTCCTTTGATCCCTGCTCCCCAGCCGCACTGCCAGAGTCCTGTACTGTCGCTGTTCCATTTCCCAGTGGCACTGGTCCAGTGGATCTCCGTCCACCTCCATGGCCCTTGCCCAGGCTGCTCCCCTGGCTTTTCATGAACACTCTTTCTGTATTGTGTGTGTGTCGGGGGACTGTGTTTTGGAGACCTGGATGTCTGAGTCAGGGGGCTTGTGGGAACCAGCGCCTGGCTGAGTATCTTCTAGTAAATGCACTGCAATGGCGTTCCTACAGTGGAGTCGGGTGAAGATTACGTGAACGTCCTCGAGAGTGAGGAGAGTGCAGAGGCGTCTCTGGGTAGGTGACTGCATCCCGAGAATGGCCCCTAGCCTCTCTCCATCCTCTCCCTGGCCTGCCCTTCACATGACTGTCCCTCCTGATCTGTCCCCACAGACGGGAGCCGGGAGTATGTGAACGTGTGCGAGGAGCTGCAGCCGGTGACCAGGGCTGAGCTGGGTGTGTACTGAGGTGTGAGGGGACAGAGGCGGGCGGGCCACCCTGAGCAGACAGCCTGCAGGCTGAACACCAGTGTCCCCTCTGCCTTTCCCTCCCAGATACTGTGAACTCCCAGGAGGTGGCTGATGAAGAGGAGGGGGTGGGCGGAGAGGAAGCTCCCGATTATGAGAATCTGTAGGAGGTTAACCGAGAGCCTGGTGAGTGGCCTCTGGTCCCACTCCTGCCTTGGACCCTGTTGCAGGACGCCCTTCCTGGCCACCCCCAACGGTTAGGCACATACTTTGTGGCTCTGGATTTCCAGTTGGTTTCATGAGTTCCTGACTCTCTCCCCCCGCTCTGCTGTGTTTCAGCTGCAGCTGGTCTGTCCTGGAACTGGACTTGCTGGGAGGGCTGAACTCAGCAGCTGGGAGTGTCTCTAAGGGAGTCCCACTTGACCTCTGCCTTGCCAACAGTCTGAGAATCTCCCATAACTTATTGTCACTTTGGGGTCCAGTCTGGGTCCCCAGTATTCCTCACCTTCTGGTAAAGCCTGAGAATGAATCTAATTCCAGCCTGACTCTGTCATGGAATAAAGGTCATATGGCCCAAAGTCTTCCTTTTGTTTTTTGGTTTGGTTTGGTTTTGGTTTTTGTTTAATTGGGACAGGGTCTTGCTATGTCGATCAGGCTGGCCTTGAACCTGTGGGTGATCATCCTCTGCCTCCTGAGTGCTGGGATTGCAGGTGTGTATCATAATGCAGAGCTGCCAGCAGCCCTGTTGGTTTTGAGGTCCCCGAAGGCTGGGTGTAGGCCGTGTTGGTTTGAGGGACTACCTTTTTCTCAATGGGATGTTTGTGAGTGTGGACATACATGACATACATGACGTGTGTGTGGGTGTGTGTGCGCGTGTGTGCGCGCGCAGTCTGCAGTCAAAGTGTCTGGACAGCTCTGTTTGTGGGTCTCCTCCTCTACAGGGTCCCACCACCCTCTCAGCAGTCTTTGTCAAATATTGTAAGTGACAGTAGACAATCACTTGGACACAGCCATGTTCTGAGTGAGGCCTATGACCCAGCCTGGCCTTTCTGGGGCTCAGGATGTATCTCCCCAAAAGTAGTTCATCAAAGTGCAGCTGCTCATTGCGACAGATGGCAGAGCAGGGTACGGGACACCTCTGGGTGGGGAGTGTGTGTCAGCAGAAGACCCCATGTTGATGACTCTTTTTCTGTACTCGAAAAACAAAAGGCTGGTCTTGATGGCCTCAGTAGGTCTCTTGGTTCTTGCCTTTTTCGTGGTTCTCCGTGAAATACTGAGCTGGTCTGAACAAGTCAGGCAAGGTGGTATAAACCAGTTAATCTCAGCTGTTCTGGGGGTTGACGTGGAAGGATTCCTAGAGCCCAGGAGTTCAAAGCTAGCCCAGTACACATAGTGGGAAGCTATCTTAGCCCCCACCAAAGTGGCTAAGGCAACTTCCGTCCAGGTGCAGCCATTAAGCCGCAGCATGGCTGTGGTGACAGACCTGTGGCTCTTACGGAAGTGTCAGCTTAGTAGGTGTGGAAGTGTTACGGCTTAGTGAGGGCTTGTTTACCTCACCTGACTTCCTTGCCTGTTTTCTCTCGTCTCCTTCAGGATCCTCTCTTGTCCCAGTTCTGTGCGGGTTTAGAAGCACCAACCCAGCCCTCTGTCCAGGGACACGAGCTGGTCCCTTCCTGCATTGCATGATGGTTGAGGTTGCAGATTTGGCAGATGTGTTGCAGCTGTGGCCCACAGGGCAGTGGGGTCAGCCTGGGGTCTTCCCAGGAGACCCCTTTTCATCCTGGCTCTAACTGGGCTGGAAGTTGTAGTTCTGAAGGCCCCGTCTGCATGGGCTGCCAATGAATGAAGCCACAGGGAAGGAGAAGGGTGGCTTAGACATGGATGTTTTCCTGAATCTAACTGCTTGTGAGTAAGATGACCTCTGCAACTTCCGGGTCATGTGGGCCAGTAAATCACAGCATGCAGCCGCTGGCTTGGCTTGGAGTGTCTGTTGTGTGACCGGTGGTTCTCTCTGGCTGCAGAAGTGATCTAAGCTCCAGGGTACCCGCTGTATCCCATGATCTCATTTAGTCTCTGTGGCTTCCCTGTCGACTGTTATGGCTAGTGTCTGCGTTTTGGAGGTTCAGGGAAGAGGCTCAGAAAAGTGAGGTTAACTTGCTCAAAGATGCACAGCCAGAAAGGTGCATCTATGATCAGATCTGGGCCTCCGGCACACTACCAGGCTGCTTGGTAGCCTCTTTGTTCTGTTTATTTTGCAAAATGCCAGCAGTGGGGGACAGGGGGCCCCTCAGATACTCAGCTGCAGCAGACTGAAGAGGTGAGGGTCTGGGAAGGCTTGGCAGAAGTTGATGGGCTTAACTCCTTTTATTTTGGGTTGTTGTGGCCGGGGAATAGGCAGAGGAACCAACAGCACTTTGCTAGCAAAAGGCAGACCGGCAGAGCCCCCTTGTCGGACAGTCTAGCGGTGAAGCTGAAGATAGGCAGAGGTAGCAGAATGCCAACCGTAGCAGTCTTTCTCTGAACTTCTTTTTGATTTGGCCTCTACCTCCCAGCCCCCCGGCCTTAGGCAGGAGAGAGAAAAGGTTAGTGGGCAGAGAGGACCCAGACCCCTTCACTTCTCCCGGCTAGCGAGGGTCAAGGGCTCTTTTAGGGCTCTCTGCCAATCTCCATCAACCGCAGCTGCAGCTAGCAGGCTCCACACCGCTGCGCCCCGAAGCGTCTCTCTGTTCGTCTGCTCTAAACTGCCACACCATCTCTGGGCTCTCCGAACTGCCCCATGCCACATGCCAACCCATAACGCCACCCAGAATGCGTCTCCTTCTTGGCCCTCATATGTTTACTCTCTGAGTCCTAGGCCACGCCCCTCTCCATGCTGCACGTGGAAGGCCGTTACCAGCTGGCAAACAAAGAGCATGCTCCACACGTGATAATCAACAGGTGTGGACAAACGCCAGCCCAACTAAAATCCCACACTTGGGATTAAAAACAAAAGCATATTTCCCTAACATGCTAGGAAGCCAGAACTTCTCTTACAGGCAGGCCCTTTGCTCACTGGGGTTTGCTGAGTAGGACTTCCGCCAACTCAGTGGATGTACAGGCACAGGCTGTGCGAGGCAGTGTTGCTGTGGCCATGGCAGAATGCAGCCAAGGGACCCACTGCTGGTGAAGGGGTGGGATGCTGGTGGGATGCCAGCATCAGGGTGAGTCAGGCCCATCAGCAGGAGGGCATCGCCGACAGAACATTCATGCATCCGGGCGGCGAAGGGATCTGTGTGTAGGCAGTTAAAAATGTGCAACGGGTTGTGGGTCCCTTGCCAGGAGTTCCATGCTCCCTTGGATTTGTCTGTTTAGACAAGGGCTCATCGGTTAGCCATTGTCCCCCCGGAACTCAGTATGTAGATCAGGCTGGCCCTGAACTCTTAGAGATCCACCTGCCTCTGCTTGGATGATTTTTTTTTTTTTTTAATTTGGAATGTTTGGCTATTTGGGGAAGGGGATCCAAATGTAGACATGGAATTCTTGTGTTTCATATGTACCCTATCGACATGGCCCAGGGACAGCTTTAGACATTGTTTTGAATGCACCCGAATTTGATTGAAACACCCCTCGTGAGGGCAAAGTGGGTTTTCCACTTTTATTTGGGAGTATCTCGGGTTTTGGGTGTTTGGATTAGGGCTGTTCTCTGTCACACACCGTGTCGCTCAGGGACACGGTGTGTAGTGGACAGTGGAACCTTGGGTGGAGGGGGAAAATGAGATTGGAGTTCAACAAAGGCCTCAGTGGACCGTGCGGTTTTGGCCCAGGGTCGTCAGAGGCAGAGCGCTTGTGCGGGGGGGGGAGTCCTGAGGCCAGTCCCCAGCACTGCCCCCCAAAACACCGTAGTGGGGGAGGGTCCCACGAGAGTTTGATGGCTCTTCTTGAAGTGTTTTCAGATCTAGGCGATTTCATAGTAATCGAGATCAACAGCCCCGGCATGGCAGTTACATGCCTTTAACCCCAGCACTGGGGAGGCGAGGCAGGCAGAGCCCTGTGAGTTCAAGGCCAGCCTGGTCTACACAGCAAGTCCCAGGTCAGCCCAGGGCTACCTAGCGAGACCCTGTGTAAAAACAGACAAAACAAGTGATCAAACACAAAACAAAAACAAGATCAAGACTCGGGAAGGGACGGGGGGGGGGCATGGAGTGTGTTTTGCCCTGCGAGTGTCACTGGTTGGTTTGTGCCCGAGACACTCCAGGCTTTAGGAGCAGCCTACACTAAAGCCTGAGGGAAGCTTGAAGAACTAAAGAAATGCCATGTTATGATACTGAAGAAGGCACGAGCAAGCTTCATTCTGAGACCATGGATGCCATGGCCAAGTCTGTGCTTTAGCAAGTGTCTCTGCGTTCGTTGTTGTGGAGGCTAGAAGCAGAGGCAGATGGCCTAGAGGTGGGGGGGGGGGGGGTCACGGGGGGGCTGGGGGCCAGCAGAGAAACGGCTACATAATCCAGGTACCACAGTGACGGGTTGGCTGTGGTTGGGAGGCACAGGGAGAGCTGGGGATTATTGGGGAGGTTGGGGGCGTTAAGGCACTTCCTTGAGTCAACAAGAGTTTCTCCTCATGTGTTTTGGCTTCAGTAGGAGTGTGGCTTTGTTCCCTCCAGTCTCGAGACAGCAAGAAAGCTTTTGGCTTCTAAAAGCTACAGGTGGGATGGCTCTCTGGATCTTCTTTTCTCAGAGGCCAATTTGAGAGGAGGGTCCTGGGATAAGGGTCCCCGGGAGAGCTGCTCTCAGAACACACCGGAGGGGAGGCGGGCACATGACACTGGACAGGAAGGGCAGTCAACTGAGAGTGCGTGATGAGGGCCAGAAACCGCAGCGGGCGCTGGCCCCGGGCCTGTGAGGGCCTTGGGAGTGTGTGTGTGTATAACTTCTCTTCCAGAAGTCACCAGTTCGGCACAGTACCTGGGTTTTTACATATGTGTGGAATCTGAAGTCAGGCCTTCATGTTTACAGCAAGCAATTCACCCACTCAGCCATCTCCCCGGCTCTTAGTTCTTTCTTTGCTGTTGATCCTTTTTCACACAGCTTTTCCCTGTGTGGTCATGTGATGGCTGCTCTGAGGACCACATCCTTCCAGGATCCCCTGCAAGAGAGCCCCAGCCTCTCCAGCAAAAGCATTGAAATTATTCTGATTGGGCTATCCTGGGACACGTGACTCCCCTGAGCCAATCACTGGCCGATAGAACCCATGCCCTGACCAGCCCAGGCTTGCCCATGTTCTTTAGACAACGGCACAGGCCCAGGATGATTTTCTTAAAAGTGACACAGCTAACTCCACCTTATTGTTTTTTTGTTTTGTTTTGTTTGAGCTGTCCTGGGCTCACTTTGTAGACCAGGCTGCCCTCGAACTCACAGAGATCCTCCTGCCTCTGCCTCCCAGAGTGCTGGGATCACAGGCGTGGGCCACCCACAGTTACTAGCAGAATCGCAGTTTACTTCCTCAAGATAGAGGAAGGGGAGCTGTGTCCTGTCAGATGTCGGCAAGGGAGAAAACACGGCAAGCTAATTCCCTCCACGTGGAAAG